CCAGCAGAATGATATAGATGATGAATATTTTTTATTAGTTCACCCAGTTCGAGATATGAATAATACCACTGGAATGTATTTCCACCAAGCAATTCAATGAGGTATCACAATAAGTAGGGGCTACTATTGAGATGATATGCGTTGGGGTGGTTGTGACTCATCAGGGGCTTGGTGGGGGTGGGTTATTTCATGAGACATTTCATTTTCCACTTCATATATTATGGGAATGTATCTCATTTTGTACCTGAGTTACATCAATTCTATAAGCTTTCAAATTGTCATCACCCTATATATGGCCAACCGGACATGGTATCAGAGGTAATCATATGAATCCTCATGTTTATGATCAAGACCCATACTGTGTCACATAATTGGCCGATTGTAGCCGTTTGTTTTCAAGTTTTCAGTGATTGAGTAAAAATCAAAATTCAGATGTTTTCAATATTTGTCTTTTCCCAAGAATATTACCTTGTCATGATGGAATGCAATACTCTGTATGTGATATTATCCTCTAACCGAATAGAGGGATTCATGAGGTAGATATTAGACGTGAAGAGTTCATTCCTACTGAAGAATAATCACGACTTAGAGCACATAATTCAAATTGATGCAAAATATTCTAAACAGCCAAAATCTAATGTTTGACACCCTGTAGCTCGATAACTGGTCATAGGATCGATCTGTAAATTGGACTGTGTGATAAGGACGATAATGTCTTAAACATATCAAATTTTCAGAAAATTTAGCCGAAAGCCATTTTACGTACAAATGTGCGGGGTCCTTTCAAGTAAATCGGAGTTATGGAATTTTTGTTGAAATTAAAAAAAAATGGCTGCTCCAAGATGGCGGACAAGATTTGGTCCGATTCCATTCAAAATTGGTAAGTGGGGGTTTTTGAGGTCGGAGATCATGATTTTTTTGTTAAAATTCATGAATTCAAGATGGCGGCTTCCGAATGATTTTTTGTATAAATGACGATAACTCCGTTGTTATCAACACAAAACTATTACTGCGACACATCATCTGTAAGAGAAAAAAAAGTTATTTGTAACTAAGTCATAGTGAGCTATGACCTACATTTGAAAAACTAAATTTGGTGCTGATATCTCAAATTCTAGAAGAGTTGGTATAAATTTCATATTTTTTTCGAAATCACTTTGAAAAACTGCCATGAGAATGTGAAATTCCTATTTGAATATTTTTATAAATAAAGAAGTAACGGAGGAGACAAGAAAATGATAAAAATCTGTTTTTTGCGTATAAAACAAAAACGAATAGATTTTATCAAAATATTTTTTCACATTATAGTTGGCCTTGACAAACTCCACATTTGGTGTCATTTAACCGACCTCGTATCTCTCACCGTAAGATACCCATGGTGAGAATGGTAAGTGGGACACACTGTATACCAGTTTATTTACTTTTTTTACAAACGTTAAAAAATGACAAGGTTCGCGCATTGATAACAAATTGCGAAGTTACATTTTTTTTTAGTTTCCTACGTTACCATGATACCTTGCACAAAACAATGCGTGAAGTAAAACAGTGCACGAAGTACCTACTTCGCGCATTGTTATATGTCGAATATATGAGATATTCATATTTCAACTTTATGGTCCTCAATCGAACAAACATCAACGAAATCATTTATTTCTTAATGTTCAACAATAACTTTGTTTTATCTCTTCGAGCGCACGGAAGGAAATTCCTATTATGTTCGTGGAACATACCTAGGGAGGATAGGGGGAGGCCCTATTAAGCCAGTTCAACACTATTTTTTATATCAAGCTAAGCATATTTTTACTTTAGAACTATATTTTTTGACGTTTGTTGAAAAAAGGTTGTTTGCTACTCCAGCGCGAAATACTTTGGTCATCTCGACTATTTTTTCGATCTCGATCACTAAACTAGCATTTCGCGCTCTAGATACAAAAAATACTATTTTCTACAAATGTAAAAAAAGGACGAGGTTCACGCTTTGATAATAAAATTTGATGATACAATTATTAATAATCATTTGGAGATAGCTGAAATCATCAATAATCACTTTTCAAGTATTGGTGAACAAATAGCAAAAGAAATAATCACATACTGTAGTAAAATTCAAAGTAAAAATATTAGTCCTGATTATAACAACTCCCATAATGATTTTATTTCCCACTGATGAAATGAAAGTTTTTGAAGTTATTATCGATCAATTCAAGTTTATATTTGAATACGTTCAGATTGAGACACCGTTCAGTTTCGTATTTGGTATCTAATTATTATTATACTTCCACCCGATATCAAATACATAGAATATGAATCAAACTAATTCTCCGCATACAATTTGCATAACTTGCTGACAAGTCTTCTGATAACTCCATTAATTGTTTTGATATCAACAACTCGGACCGTTCCATGTTCCCCTGGGTACACTGCTACAACTCTCCCTCGATTCCAACAGTTCCTCGGTCCAAACAGAAGTGATTCACTCTTAAAAAAAACATGCCCAGATCCCGAAGGTTTAATAAGTTAAGATGCATTTGAACTAAACAATATTTTGGCCAATCCATTATCAAAATTGATCAATAAATGTTTCACCAGTGGTATATTTCCACAAGAATTATAACATGCTTCATTAAGACCAATACAATAGTGGAGATACTCAAGATCCAGAAAATTATAGACCAATTGCCTCATTGAGCATTTTTTTTTAAATTGTTGAAAAGATTCTTGAAAAACGCAATGTAGTTCCTTTGGGCGAATATGCCTCAGTGTTCCAGGCAGAAGTACTTGCAATACTCACCTGCGTCCAAGAAAACCTAATTATGAGAGGTCGTAGACCAATCACTATATGCTCGGACAGCTATGCTGCAATACTGGCTTTGCAATCCAATAGGATCACATCCAAATTGGTGTCCGAGTGCAGAAAAGCCTTGGAAAACCTGGCAAAATCAAGAAAAGTCAGCCTCATGTGGGTCCCGCAACATTCGGGAATACCCGGAAACGAGGAGGCAGACAGACTGGCAAAGATCGGTTCAGGACGGACCTCGGTCGGACCGGAACCAATTTTGGGAATACCAAATAGCCTGGCAATGTCCTCTATAGAGGAACAGCTGCAAAAGCAATTCCGCAAAATATGGCAGGACACACCAGGAATGAGACAATCGAAGATCCATATAAAGGAGCCTTCGAAGAGGCTCGCAAAAGAGGTTGTATTCCTAAACAGGCGAAACCTTAAAATGGTAGTGGGGCTCCTAACGGGGCACAACCACCTCAATAGGCACCTAGAGCTTATTGGGATCAAGGATGACCCCCTTTGCAGATGGTGCCTGGAAGATGACGAAACGTCATCACATGTCCTCACTGAGTGTCCAGCACTGACGCATCAGAGGAGGGCTGTCCGTGGCAACATAAATTTGAGGCCAGAGGACCTAAAAGAGATTCAGCTGAGGAAGCTGCTGAACTTCTCCAAGGCAGTCGGCATACCCAGCTGAATGTCGTAACATGTGGGCGCACAATGGGCCCGAATAAGGAGGCCCACGTGCAGGGGGTTCACCCGCCCACCAGTGCTTCGAAGAAGAAGAACGCAATGTAGATTTCATAAATAAAAAATATAGCATTGACATACCTAAATCAATTAGGTTCAAGAAAATAGTGGCACACAAGTGGAATTATAACAAGTAATACAAGCAATACAAAATGGACTTGATACCGGAAATTATGTGATAGCAATTTTTATTGATCTCAAAAAGACTTTCGATATAGTTGACTAGATAACACTTCTGAAAAATTTTGAATCACTGGGCATGATTAGGTACAGTCGTATTCAATAAAAAAGCGTACAAGTATTAAAAAGAGAGGATTAGTTCTAGTCGTGTACAACTGGCTCAGCCAATGCTTTGTGTTTTCGAGAACCTATGACAACTTTACTGTCAACATTTGGTAAGCAATCATTCCCGATAGCCCATTTTATGCAGAATAGGATGACGTTAATTTCTCTCTGTAATATACTTGTACGCTTTTTTTTAATGCGACTGTACCTTTTAGATTCCTATTTTCAAAATAGGACAAACAGTACCAGACTCTACTAACTCGAGAGTCTCATAGACTACCGATGACTGAAGGTGTCCCCCAAGGATCTGTTTTAGGACCAATCTCATATTATTTATTATATCAAAATATCACCAAAATTCAAACAGAAAGTAATCACACTATTTATACAGAAGATACAGTACTTTCATATAGAAATAAAAATCCTATCATTTCAGAAAATATAATAAACACTAATAAACAGAGACTTGATGTAATTTGGAAAATGGCTATACTGGACTATATGGAAATACTAATAAAACTGAATATATGATTGTAAATTGAAGTGGGACAATCATATAAAAGTTCTGACGAAAAAAAGATCTATTATTGGAGTCCTGAGAAGATATCCCTAACTCGATGATATCCTATTGATAAACTGAAAATACAACATTTTGGTCTATTGAGTGGTTTTGGTATTTTGCTTCGTTTCCATGGAACAAAGTAAATACCAATTCATTGTATAAATTTGTGTGAAACATTCTTTCAAAAACAGGGATGAAAATAAATGTGTGATCCATATCCATAGACATAGAATAAAAATTAAGAATCATTTTCTTCTAATATTTTATAATACATGATTGACAAACTTTGTATCATTGAACACTTCCTGACCCAGGAATACATAGTTCTCAATATACAGAGTGTAGAGTGTGCCAGATATGTATCATCACATATTTGAAGAAAATGAATCTTCATTCTCATTCTATGTCTATGGACATGGATCACGCATTTATGTACTTGCCTGAGGAAGTATTCCCAACAACATATAATCTCCAAAAGTTAAAAAAAAATCCAATACCTACCTCCTATCCCTACTTACTTTCGTGCGCTCCAAGCGCGATCATGTAGAATCACCCCCTGATTTTTGTGCATAATTTCCGGACACCCTGTATAATATTAAAAAGTAAAACGGCGTTCTATAGGTTGGCGAATCTTCGCTCTCACGGAAACACAAATGCCACGCATACAACGCTCTGGCATCCATGGTGAGCAACTCCTTGAAGCTCAACGACTTCTACAACAAGCTGTTCTCGCGCGAGGTTAACAATCAAGATGTTCTGTGGCACGGGATAGTCGACACATCCGCGACATACGAGTTTCCAGTGGATTTCGATACGATCCCGATGCAGCGCAAAGTTCTGGTGAACATCAGAGATGAGTTGAAGCGGAGCAGGAGAGCTGACGGCTTGTCAAAGTCAAAGTCGCTCAAGTATATCGAGTCGCAGCGACTGTTCGCCAGTTCGCTGAGCGAAGACGTCACCAACTTCGATTTCACCAACAGCGTCTTGCGGGAGAACGCGGAAGGTAAACTAAATTAGATTAACCAACGTAGGTGATCCATATCTTACAGTGGAGGTGATATAAATCTGGAGGGGTGAAAGAACTTACAGTCACAACTCCACCACATAAACAATTTAATAATGACCAACGGCCATGGACATAAAAAGGACATGTTTCGAAGAACTAATCCTTCATCAGCAGATTTATAAAAAGAAAATCATTATTGGTGGAAAAACATTACTAAATAAAAGACATGAAAAAAATATTTTTAACCGCGCATAGTGCACGTGAGTAACTGCTAGGGAACCATGATAAGAGCTCTACAAGAGCTTAATTTTCGACCCCGCACTTTTAGTACGTAAAATGGTTCTCGGTGAAATTGTCTGAATTTTCAGTATGTTGTAGAATTCGAGGAACTGATTGAACCTGCAGAATCGTAAAGTTCTTTGATGAACAGATTCTGAGATACAGGGCGTTGAAGTTACAAATCGGTATTTTTCATTTAATTATTTTCTCGAAATTCAAAGATGCCAAGTACAATTTTCTTCGCTCATATCATTAACGAACCTCCATATTACTCAACATAATTCAGATGGTTCAGATGATGTAATTGTTTACAGAGTGAAACATATAAACATTTCAGTGTGTCTTAGTATCTTTGACTATTCCTATACAATGTATGTTGTCAGTTATGGAAAATAAATGATTTGATTGATTGATTGATTGAGTGATGTCTGAAAATTCGATGCAATAATGAAATATCGAAAAAATAATTTAGGCATGCAATATACTAGTCTCATTCCATCATGAATCACAATTCATACATTTCATACAGGGTGATTTGAAAAATTGGTGACACCTAAGACCGATTTATTCATACACATCCTGTATATTCGAGTGAATTATTAACCTCCCAAGATAGCTGATACCCTATGAGCATGATTTCGTTGAGATATATAGGGTGATCATGAAGATCTTCGATGATGAAAATGATAAAAAATCGTGTTTTTTTAAATCACCCTGTTATTCATGATTAACTCGGTGAAATTCCCTAATTATTTTTTAATATATTCATCATTCGCTCCTCAACGCTGTCTTGAAAATTCAGTTTCCTATCATGACGGGTGTCATGGTTATTAATTCAGGAACTTACCATTTGCATGAAGAGTTGAAGAGACTTGTTCACTTACATTCGCATAGTGGCCGATATTTTTCACAAATAGTGAAACGTGAGAATGTGGAGACGAAAATAAGTTTAGTATTCATATACAGGGTGAACATTAGAAATTCAATAACAAAAGAATTTAATAATATTAATATAATGTACAGATAGTTAGGCGAATTTGGTTGGTATACAAGCTCTGCCAAAATGAAAAACGAACAATACCTAGGAGATGGGAGAATGATTCGGTCTTTCACGCTTCCATTTTTAATAGGGAGAGTTGAATCCTGGAATCGACAGATTTTCTCACATTTGTTTTCCACTCAGAATCAGGCGTTTCCATCATTTTCATATTTGCTTGCTATCAGTAATTATTATAATATCATTAGATTCATATTCATATCACATTCCAATGATATAATTCAATACGTATATATGATGGTGAAATAGAAAATAATCCTAAAAAATTAATTCCTATTGAATGCAAAAATGGGTTTCTGCACTATTGGTTCATATTCGATATTATATCAAGTAGGTGACAGACAGACAGTTGGGATTATTTTGTAATTGTCTAATGTCGTTGAGTATTGCCTGGAAACAATTGAAACAAGTTCTGGTTTCCTCAGCAATATCGAGAGGAGGTCTTTCTGCAGCTTGTCTTCTCAATATAGCCATTTCCTGTTTTTCTATATTTTCTTCTCCATGTATCCTAGTCATTTGCTGTATTCTACAGTTTCTATCACAAACGTAACAGTTCCCCCTATTAACCAACGCCATTTGGAACACTATCACTACTTGAGAACTATAATGAGATAAAATTATGAACAATAAATTCCACAAAGGGAATATCCTAAATTACAACACTCAAACTGAAATCAACAATCGATATCCGCGTGACAAGTTCACTGACAGATCGTTGTTGATTATAACTCACCTACTTGATATAATATCGAATATGAACCAATAGTGGAAACCCATTTTTGCAATCAATAGGAATTAAGCGTGAAAGACCGAATCATTCTCCCATCTCCTAGGTATTGTTCGTTTTTCATTTTGGCAGAGCTTGTATACCAACGAAATTCGCCTAACTATCTGTACATTATATTAATATTATTAAATTCATATTTCTGCTATTGTTATTGAATTTCTAATGTTCTCCCTGTATATGAATACTAAACTTATTTTCGTCTCCACATTCTCACGTTTCACTATTCTAAGTCTCTTCAACTCTTCATGCAAATGGTAAGTTCCTGAATTAATAACTTGACACCCGTCATGATAGGAAACGAATTTTCAAGACAGCGTTGAGGAGCGAATGATGAATATATTAAAAAATAATGGGCGAGTGGACTGATACTGAAATATTGGCATTCAATTACTCCACTGTGTCGTTAGGAACCCAAATTAATTTTTGCAAAACTGCTCACGCTTTTTTTATGGAAATATCTGTCCAATAAAAACATTCATTTTTATTATTATCATTATTATAATAGGTCTATGCGTTGTTCAAAATCGTTGATTTTCAGAGCTCATTTCAAACGTAACGTCATGGCCGCCATTTGGCGATGCGTCGAATAATGAAGCAAGGTTACCAAGTCACCAATTATAATGAAGTTATCAAAAAGATGTTTTGACCAATTATGAATAGTTTCTACACAAAAAATTCTTTTATCATGCCCGCTAGACCCCAAGTGTGATAAATCGATGAAATCAGCTCTTTAGGAAGGATCTGAAAATGGAATAATATATATGGTGTCTCATTCAAAAAATCATAGATGTTACTACTTTTCAATGTAAGTGGCAACGTCGCAACGCTGAGACTATTTTAGGTCGATAGAACACAACTAATTATTCAAGGCACCAACTTTTCAGAATAATCCTGAGTTGCGTTCTCTAGAAACGTCTAATGTACCATTCACCGTGAATCAGCCTGTATATGTTCATAAAGACAAAACTAAAAAAAAAAAAAAAGTTTTACATACCGGTGGGTTAACATTTTCCCATATTAGTATGGATTTCCTCCACGTTCGATGGTACCTTAGACTTTTAGGGAGAACGGGACATAGGATCATTCTGAAAATTTTGTTACTCAATATAGTTGCTATTGGTCTATCGATCCAAAATATTTTCAGCAATGCACCGTTGCCACTTATACCAAAAATTAGTAGCAACACCCTGTATTTAATTGCATTCTTAGATTCTCCCTGAACAGCTGATTTCATCAATGAATTACACTTGGGGTCTGGCGGCAATGATCACAGAGATGTAGGGTTATCAAAATCGAGATTTTTTAACTTTAGGATTTTTTTTGTGTCGAAACTATTCATTATCGGTCATAACGGCTTACATGTCCCTATTTTCACTGAATTTGCGATCTACTGACATTTAATTGGAACATGTTATATATTTATTCCTACTATATGCAATGAACTGAATGTAAACAACTGGAAGGGACCCACTGTGAACGACGAGTGAGGCAAAAATATTTTTCAGGCAACCCGCAGTGTTTACGGATACCTATCTCTCTCTATCTTGTGTTGGCTAATGGGAAGCGCTCGCATAATTTGAAATATTTTCTCGTTTTTTGCTTCTATTTAAGAGTAAACGTGATTAAATAAAAATATTCATTTGGGAAAAACGATAATGTTGTAATCAATTATCATTAAAAAATTATTACTGATTTTTTTATTGACTTCAAAATGAAATTGCAATTTTACTCTTACAGGATCAGGAAGTCAAATGAATACAAAATTGAAATTATATATGTTTATTCAAATGTCACAATATATTGTACAGGGTGAGCGAAGCACAATGTCTCAGAACTATGAGAAGGAAAAGAAAAACGATAGGAAAAATTTGAAAAGAGGTTCTTGAATGGTATTGAGTGCATTTTGAGCATAATTTCCATAGGTTCATTCCTATTCCTTCATTAGGTCACTCATTGTCATTACTATACCCACTGTTGGAAATTGATTGACCTACTTCTTTCATGTTTGAAATTTTTAGGTCTCTCCTTTTTACTTTTTGTCTCAGGGTCTTCACATTTCTCCTCAATACAATACAATATCCTTCTCTAATGAAACAGTTTAAGTTTCTTTATTGATAAACTTCAAAACTTGGGAGCTGGAAGTGGTAGGCAAGTCAAAGTCAATAACATGGGAAACTTCTTCCTTTGGACCCAAGTTATGAACGTCCACAGATGCATCCTGGAAACAAATTACTAGCTAGTTTTTTTATTTCAAAGAGGTGCAAATATTCTTTATTCTCATTATTAATCAACTAGGTACCTACGGGTTTTTTGTATTTTCCTGGGGGAATCAGCTTTCAAAAACCTAGCAGTACCTGGTATGCCTAAATATTGTTACGTTATTCGGGTGCAGAAGCGAACACGACACTATTTATTTTCGAACTGATTTATTTGAACTATAGAAACACTAATTTATAACGAACTTAGAACTACTATTTATGTAAAACGATTTATATCACGCGGTATATAACTGTCTCTCTGACACTCGCTGCTCGACTCCCTGACAGCAGTTGTTCGGCGGTCTTATATATGAGAACACATGGCAGGCTTTGGTCGAGAACGTTCTCGAATGATTTTCCGTCTCCTTCTTTTTGTTCTAGAAGCTTCTTAGAACAAAACCTCTCTCTCTAATTGTTCCATCGATTGTTTCCAGAACATTCCAGAATCTTCTGTGACGTTATTCGTCACTGCGGCATATATTGAGTGTTCGGAAATATGCTGGTGTATGTAGGAATCATTGAGAGGTTGGAGAGCAATCGGGGATGCGTGATACAGGATGATCGTTGTACTCCTGCCTTCCTGCTGATGTTTCTAGAGCCCCTCCAAGGGGAATATCATTACAATATAATCTGTTGGCAGGAAATGCTCTCCACAAAGCTTGCTGTTTTTAGTTGGAGTCCAATTCTCTCTACGAACTGCCTTTATCCATAATTCGAGAATGTCTGGTCTTTTGAATGAAAAACTGCAACAAATAATATTACTCAATATCAATATATGGAAGTATTTAACTTTGACAAATAATATAGGTATAGTTTTTGAACATATTCTGAGACTGGGAACATTGTATACGTAACTGATGATCATTTCAAGAACTATATTTTTCAAAAATCTGAAAACAATATTCAACTTACCCATGGAATGCCAATTTCCTTTTGTCTTGTTCGTTCTTGCATCCAAAGGCGACACATTTAATCACCATTGTTTATTAATATTAATCACAAAGCTTCTCAACAATCAGTTCAGTGTTCACAACAACAAATTCAGTCCTTTTGATACAACAAAACACGTCAAATGAATAGATATTTCACCTCGTATTTCACATAAACGAAGACAATGAACTTCTGTCTTCACTTTCTTGCCTGTGTAGATGAGAGAAAAAATTCTCAACTACTTTAATTATCAGATAAAAGAAAATGTATACACCAATCCATCATTAAACAACACGAGTTGGAAGAGGACAGGTTACCGTAAATCATGCTATCTTTGTTGCAACTGTCCCTGACACACTTTGTGCTATTCGAGAGAACGGTCGTCTCCCTTCCAGTTGTATTGAGTTCATTGACTATATGTAAACGACTTACCCTCATATGAAAATCATGGGCGCATATTTATTTATGCAGATGACACAACAATTTTATGTAGCTGCAGCTGGTGACCTATCTGAGCTGGAGATTTTAATTTAAGCAGTTAGGAGTAACTTCGCACAATAGTGCAAAAGAAACCATCTTATTATAAACGAGAAAAAAACTGTGATATGTAATCGAATTTACTGCACTGCTGAAGAATGAAAACAATATTAAACTATAAACTAGCAATAACACTATAATTCACTCATCCAAATGCACCAAATGTCTTGGAATAGAACTCGACCATAAATTAAACTTCAAAAAACAAATTGACTGCCTGTGTAAAAATTTAATAAACTCTACTATGCGATGAATAGTCTGAAATCGAACGTACTACTACTACTACTACCGATGTCACATAATTATCATTCACAGTGCTTCAGTCTACTCTGCGATCAGCTGCAATTATAATTGTGTGGGGCAGGGCGGCCGAAATCACGAGAGTATTCATCCTGCAAAAACGATTCATTCGCTTGATATTCAACTTGGACTATAGGGAATCATGTAGAGAGACTTTAAGGATGAATAATTTGATGACTTGTACAAGCATTTACCTCTACAAGCTATTAAATAACACCCACAATAGTTATTTATGTATCAAGGGCGTAAAGTAGGCGTTTATGGCCTGTGGCGTGAATAATGGCCCGATGGCGCTAGCCGAGGGCCATTACACGCTGAAGGCCATAAACGCATTTCACGCACGAGATACATACAAAATTTTATGCACTAGTGGTTTATTTTCTGACTCATAAGTAATGACTATAGATTTCGATAAACTAATATTCCCCAGAATTTAATTTGTTACGTATGACTTCAGTAATCAAGAGAAGCGTAATGTTCATGGATGATTTACATATGAAAATTATCCTACGAATATTGCAATTATCGTAATAGTAAAACTCTTTCAGCTCTAGAAGAGATTCATTCTTCAGAATTTTACTATATGCATACCCAGTATATAAACCTAACTTATTTTGACGTTGTCAATCAATCTGATGGTTGTTGTCTATAGCAATACATCCAATAAACGAGCTGAATTGTCATTCTTTGACTGAAAAGTAAAATTGTGATAATAATAATAGCGAGACTATGGAATCGGATGAAGAAGAATTTTATGATATACCGCTGGATATATTAGAATCTAGGAATATGATCATAGGTTTTTCATGAATTGATACGTGGATATAAGGTGACTGAGAACAGCGGGCGGTAAAGTGCACTTTACGGCCCGCTAGTGCATAAAAATAAAAATCTATCTATCTATCTAGGAATATTCCTTGATTCAGACAATTGTTCATAATATCACTTAGTGGCTCTGCGATATTATGGCCACAGCATCATAAGATATGTACTGATTTCATAAATGTCCTGAGTATTTTTATTTTTTTATCAAGGTAAGATGCAGAAGGGGGATGAAGGTGTGGAAAGAACTGTTTTGCAGCTAGACGGTACTGAAATAAACGAGCATGAATGCATGGGCACGGTTTGTGGGATGATTCAGCATATCTTCGATACAGGGATAAACGATTTGCCCAGGGCGGACGAGGAGGATATCGAGTTGCCCAAATGGATGGATGGTAATTATTGTGAAATTCTCATCCTACGGGGTGGGGTGTCTCAGTTTAACGGGAAAATTAAGGAACTTTTGATTCCTGGACTCAAGATTGACTTATTGGAGGAAACATAACATACAGAGAAGTGCACAAAAAACGGCCAGATCTGTAACTTTTGAATTATGCGAGATAGGGTTTTGAAAGTTGGTGAGGAGCTAGTGTACCAAATTCTTGTTCTATCACTTCTGGTTTTACTGGAAGCGACCCCAATGTTTGATTTTGAATAATTTTGATCATACAGGATGTCACAAAAAAGTGTGACGTCATAATAGTATATATTTCTTCATGACATGCCATATATTTTATTGCACATTTGATTACTTCCAGTGGTTACCTACATACTCCTGGAATTCAATTGAAATCGGTACAGTGAAATTCACGTGAAAAAATAACGAAAATTCAATTTTTCCTGGTCAATAGAATCATAAGAGATACATATCAAATAAGGCATAAGAGGATCGCTGGCAGAGTTTGATTAACACGAATTATCACAGGGTGTGCAAAATTAAGTGACAAACTTTTCAAATTTCAAAGCACTATATTTTTCTTATTCGAACTTTCATGCTATTCGATGCTTGAATAAAAAACAAACTATACAGGGTGTTTCTTAAGTACGGGTAGAATATTCAGGAGCATATTGCTGACGTCGTAATAAGAACAAAAGTTCGTATGAAAATATGTCAGAAAGTTATTCGTTTCTGACAGAGTATCAAAGTTGAAATCTTATATTTGTTTTTTGTTGATGAATTTCAAAATAATTGTGATATTTGAATGTAGTTTGGTATCTAGGGGTATTTTTCAATGACAATATCATATTTTATGTTAGTTTGTCTCTTTCGTGGGGGTGGCGCCACCTACATGTCTTTTGAGTCTTTCGAAAAGTCATAACTTCTTTGTGCGTACCTGTATCACGTTTTATAGTAGAAAAATAGATTTATAGAACACTTTTGTGTGAAAAATATATTTTTGGTAGGGGTCGCTGCGATCAACTGTTTTCGAGTTATTGGGATTTGAAATAGTCGATGCATTTGAATTATTTCCATGGGGCTCGTGAGTCGTCCTCAACTAACTGTTTCAGTATTCATTTGTTTTTAATTACTGTTATTATTATTAGTATTAAATTGTATTAACACTCGATGAAATTGAGGATAAATATTTTTCCTTACTCAATAAATCAATTTTGAATTCCAAATTGCATTGATTATTTCAAATCCCAATAACTCGAAAACAATTGCTCGCAGCGACCACTACTAAGAATATATTTTTTACAAAAGAGTCCTTTAGAAATATATTTTTCTTCTATAAAACGTGATACAGGTACGCACAAAAAAGTTATGGCGCCACTTCCACAAACTAACAGAAAATTTGATATTTTCATTGAAAAATACCCCTAGATACCAAACTTCATTCAAATATCACAATTATTCTGAAATTTATTAACAAAAAATAACAATTCAACTTTGACACTCTGTATCTCAGAGACGAATAACTTTCGGACATATATTTATACGAACTTTTTTTCTTATTCTGACGTCAGCAACATGCTCCTGAATTTTCTACACGTTCTTAAGAAACACCCTGTATATTGCCTGCCAAGAAATTGGAGTGATTAGTAACTATAAACTGGAAATGATGTTTTTCCTTCTTTTCGACAACCGAAGGGTCCTGTCAAGGTAGCGAATGCGCATGCGTCTATATTGTAACACATGATTTACTGTGACCAATCTGACAATGAGGTTTGCGAATGCTTTGTAAACTTAAGAGTATCGTGGAGTTTGCAGGTTTTTTATATTTTTTCTGTATGGACGTATTAATGGAAGATCTTCATCGCTTCATGTAGTTGTTGGCAAAATTTACGAAGCAACTTTGAACAATGATGTTTTGTCCATTTTTTTTTCTATAATTTCTTCAATGAAAACAATAGTTGTCAGTGGAAATTTCACAGATATTATTGGAAAAAACTAAGAAATTTAATGAAACACGAGAAATCGTTTTGTTAGGATTGAAAAATTGTAGCATTTGAAAAAACGAGAAAAACGTGATTGTATTTATTACACATATCATGACACCTTATTGGATATAAAAATATAAATTCAATCTTCAGGCGATGAAAGAAAACTGGAGAAGAAGAATTATGGTAAAATATAACCTCTGGTTTTCTAAATTTTTCGATTCAGTACTCATACACTCAAGAATCTGTTCTCTTTATAAATGGTGAAATGAACTTATACTGTGGAAACTGACAGAAAATTGTGATATGTCAACACTATCTGAACCTCATTTCAATTTCTTTTGATGTGCTACTTTCCTTTCAGCTGATCACATATTTTTCAACAGGTATCCGAACAACGCTCCTGAATGAAAAGACGCACAACAATGTCAAAATCTTCTTGGTTAAAGTTATCGACAACATGATGCACATCTTTACCCCTTATTCGAAATGGTTTCTGGAACCTTTGATGCTATTCGTCACGAATAAGTGCGCCGGAGAAGGCATCAACTATTTCGTAACAGATGTGGTATGTGAAAACAAAAAGTGTTGGATACTTATAGTTTATGCGAAGTCAGTTGAAAAACCCAAAACTTTTTTCTTCAAATGGCAGGGATAGTGGCTTTTTCCTGCCTCAAGAGACAGAAAAGGTGTACTTTTACTGTCTAGGCAGAAAAAGTTTCCTACACTTCACACAATTCCACTACACATGTCACATCACTTTCCTAAACTTCACACGTCGGTTATGATAATCACAATATAATTCACAACACATCACATATTAGTTTTCGTAACTGTTATACACAAATACTGAATGATATAACACTACGCACTATTGGACTCTTCAAGCCTTGAATCTTCATTTACCCTAATGATCACTGGATTGATACGTGGTAAGATACAATATTCATTTTCTTTTTTGACTACATGATGGTGGTTAAAACTGACTCGCTAAATTGCGGTGATTGGTTATTTTTAAGTACTTTGCTTTCAATAACAGCCCAGACGATCTCAATGGGGTTGGAAACAAAATAATATGGGGGCAAACGTAAGACGGCATGGCCGTGTGCTCCAAAGAGTACATATTCCTTCGTGAAATTTTGTTTCCTGATCATTTTCAGTCATTCTTTCTTCAGTTTTTTTGGAGATATTTCCATGCCTTTTTTCTCCATAAATTGAATAATATCAGCCTTTTTCATGTTGATGCTCGGTATTTTCATTTGTTGACGTGAATGGTATGACGCATTATCCATAACGATGACTGAATTCCATGGAATATAAGGTATAAGTTGTTGCTCTGCCCATTTCTCAATTAATTCTGCCGTCATATCCTCGTGATAATCGGCAGAAGATTGCTTGATATTTTTGGAAGACATCAACAATGCATTGTCAACAAATCCATTTCCATTATCGGTGTGAAGGATTATAATTCTTTTGCCTCTCGAACTCGGACCACTCAAATTACAGTTTTTGTTTTCATCTACCCAACCGTATTCCGTATATCCGCTTCACGGTATTCCTTTATTTTACGTAGATATTCTTGCCGATGATCTTCGATGCGTCTTGATTCTATAACCACTTTAAAACATTTCGCAACGTACTTGACGATTCATAATTATAATCCGCGTATTTATTCAACTTATCCCTGATATCTGGCAATTCGAAGAATTACTTCTTTCGAAGCATCATCAAGCTTCTTGAGTTTTTGTCCCACTCTTTTTTGTTGAACTTTATGATCCACAACATCTCCGGTTTTAATAACTCTGTATATGGTAGTATAGCTTATTTTAGTCATATCTTATATTCTCTTCACAAGTTGGTTTTCTGAAGAATCATTTTTCTCGTCCTAGAGACGCGAATAGATATTCAAAATTGCAAAAAGTGTAAGTCTTCATTGGCGAACTCTGCTTGCTCTTCCGCCGAATCACTATCACTCACTTCGTTGACTTCCTCAAAAGGCCTCCAGAACGCCATATTTTAATTGCGAAAGAGCTTGAACCTTCCAAAAATCGTTCCTTGATTCTTATTGATCAATTTTGGATACACATATAATTTTCATCTATGGATTTTCCTAATGAATAATATATACCATTCACAAATATTATGTCTGATTATAATACTTTGCTGTTAACTCAATGAATTCTATTATATTCTGCAGATTGTCATTTTGTCGAAATGGGCTTCCACTTTGACCATCCTGTCCGAAAAAGAAGCAGAAACAGCATCAGACCTACTGAAGTTTTTGATCGAAAACCTGAAGAGAGAACGCATCGACATATTCAAATACAATCTCGATATAACAAAAATGATAGTGGAAGCCTGGAAAAATCATCTAGCAGTCCCCACTTCCACCATATTGGGAGTATTAAGCTCGGACGACACGTCTGAAATAGGAGTAAATGTCACCTCCATCCTCCTGGTGAACGGTTTGAATTGCTGGGAGGAAGGCAGAGAAATGGCGTTTCTCGAGTTGCTATTGAGTAAGATGAAGTCCGCTAAGAAGGAGGTCTTCAGGCCTGCCGCAGAGACGGTGGGTCTCATGCTGCACATCTTGAATGGTGATCAGTTTACTTTGACGGTTGACGTCGGGTTGAAGAGGGTGAATCAGGAATACGAGAAATATGTGCTGTGCCTGGAAGGTGAGTTTGTTTGATATGTTATTGCCAGCAACTTTAAAATATTTAAGGGAATTACACAAATATGATAACCTTGACTCTGATAATATTGGAGAATTAGTAAACCTCCAAAACACTGCATGAACCATAATATTTTTCAGTATAACCAAGAATTTTTCAAACACTATTTTCGACACAAAGTGACAAGATTATTCACAAGCCAGAGACAACGTGTGCTTATCGCAAAAACATGAGCTGTCTTTCAATTTTGTGTGGGTCTATTCAACGATATAACCATGAATAGCGAAGCAGAGTAAGCCATTTGGGCGTAAAATATAACATAGGAGTCAAGTAATGTTTATCGGTTACTCAACCGAAAAGATACATACGATGGAAAGCACTAAGTTCGACTGACAATGGAAAGTGAAAAAACTCCACCGCCCCGTGTGAGATTCGAACTCACAACCTCTGGGTTACATTCCCAACGCTCTGCCAATTGAGCTAACGGGTCATCCGTCGATCAATCGGCAGGGAGGTCGAGTTCTCATCACATCATCAGCCAGCGATGCTTCGTATAATGCATGATTGTGCGGGACGACCCGTTGGCCCGTTTTGCATGGAGCTGCATTTGCATCAGGTCTCGAATTCCGATTCCGAAGTTATTTATGTCGTCTAAAATGAGAATCCAAGACTCGAAATGAAATTAACCTTCAAATCTTGCTTTATATTATATTGATATATTGAATATAAACATGAACGTTGAATCAAGATTTGTAAAAGGTTCATCAGATAATCTACCAACAATTGATTTGGAAATGGTTAATGATTTTTATGTTTCTAACATACAGTTCCTCAGTGCTGAAGTGAGGAATAAAAAATCTGAAAGGTTTGTTCCACAATATTCATTCAATTTTCATTGCTTGTACCTATTATAGTTGTATTGGAAAATTGTTCACCTGAAAGGATATTTAACATCAGAATACCCATCATATGAAGAATCCTCATTAAATCAGTCACTGATTGATATGTTTACCTATGCAACAATATGATCAATTCGTATGAAACAATGTTATTCCCTAGACTAGATACTGCTTGCATCTCCCCCTGAATGTTCTTCTAGGAGATGGATCATTTATTTTTCAAGCAGTTTCCCAATGAATTTCTGCAAAGCAAAACTACTACAATATTGTGTTTACCCAGTGAGGGGCCAGATTTCTTCCCGAAATTCCCAGCTAAATGATGTTTTTATAATTGCAATTAGGCACAAAACATTTCTTAATCACACTTTTGTCGAAATATTTCAATTTAATATTCGAAAGTTTCGCGATTTGCATAAAGTTAATATAGGTTAGGATTGATCTTCTTCTTTTTCTTATTATCTTTGTCCCAAAAATCAACTTGCTGATACACCAATCTTGGTGCATTGTCAGAAATCATGTATCATTCATCTCTGTCTGGAATAGTCTTGTTTCAGTATTAGGGTTTTGACGTCACATCATCGCCTCGTTTTCAGAGGTCCGAAAAATCGGGGATTTCAATAATTTTTTATAAAACGTAGGGAGCTCACAGCAAGAAACGGTTTGCGGTGGTGAGCTAGTTTGGGTGAGTTCTATCGAATTATGAAATAAATTTTTTTGTGATATAAGCCCATTAGTAAGTGATATTTTGTAGACATCAGATGTTATGGTTGAAAACGAATTGATGTTTTTAATGTTACCGAAATTTTAGTTATATACCTTAGTTACTACTAGTAAAATCAACTTCTATTATGGAAATATAGTGCGTCATATTCAACTAAACTCATCGGACATATTATGTTCTATTATTATCATATTATCATTATTAAAACGAATTAATGTCTTTAATGTTCCTGAAATTTCAGTAATGAACCTTAGTTACTAACAAATAAAATCAACTTCTATTGTAAAAATATAGTGCGTCATATTCAACTGAACTCATCGGCTTCGTTACTAACAAGTAACATCAACTTCTATTGTGAAAATATAGTGCGTTTCCTTCCAAGCAATGACAGCTCTGTCTATAAGATGAGCATTATTTAAGAGAAGATCAGATGGCAACAAGCAGAAGAAATACAAAAAATCACTGTTATCTGTTACAGCTGTAGACAAAACATAGTGTATAAAACGGAATGCTAATTTCCCACTCGTATGATTTGCAGCATGAGCCATAGCTCGAGGGAAATGACTATCATTCCGTGCTTGTTAAACAATGTACTATTTTCTACGGCTATAACACAAAATCGCTCTTGTTTTACTGTGCTCGATACATCAATGAGGTACTTTGTATGTCATCAATTTTATTTCGGTATCTGATATCACAATGATTGTGTTGTTATTTCAAAAAAAACTTATCGCTCATTGAATGTCAAATTTCAAGCAATGAGAGCTCTGTCTAATAAATAGATGAGCATTAATTGACAGGAAATCAGATGGCTATAAGACGAGGGAATCGAATATGCCGCTGTTATATATTATAGCCTTTGGCTCATGCTGCAAACTTGATTCTCGTAGGAAATCACTATCATTTCGTGCTCGTTAAATAATATACTATTTTGAGTTTCATTTGAAACTATGTAGACATGATTGTTATATCAGATGTTATGGTTGAAAACGAATTAATGTTTTCAATGTTCCTGAAGTTTTAGTAATTGAACTTAGTGACTAACTAGTGAAAGCAACTTTTATCGTAAAAATATAGTGCGTCATATTGAATTCAAAACTATAAAGACACTGGATTGCAGATAACAAATTTGTTATTTAATGTTTTTCATATTTTAGTACTGAAAACGAGTTATACCTAAGCGTCAAAATTCATTTGACATCTACGCAGAATAGGTCGTAGGGTTCATCGCATCATAATAAAAGCAACATTTCTTTCCGAATCTCCCACGCAGCAGAATCAATTCCCAATATTGTTTTTCTCGGTTGACCTTGTAAAAAATTATCGGTAATAATTCTGCTACAAGTGGGATAAGTGATAGATACCCTAGTAAGGAAAAGGCACTTTTTTTATCCTTCACAGCAGCACATCTTAAAGTCAATTTATCTAGAAAATGGTGAATGAAAATATTACCTACCTAGTTCTCATGAAGTTTAGTACATACAATGTGTCATAATGACTTACCAGCACTGTTAAACCTTCATTTTATTTTTTTCTATCCATTGAAACACAGTCCAATTGTCCATGTCTCGAAAATAAACAAGTCTCTTAATAAGTTGAATGAGTAACGATAGTTCTTATCATCTTCAGGTGTTTCCAGACATTTTCCCCAAATCGTCAACTCCTACCACGTGTCGCGACTGATAAGTCCTTTAAACCAAGTCCCCGATGCCCAAAAGGTCGTCCACCTACGGATAATCTGCAAACGAGTCGAACTGTCCTTGGACATCCTCGAGGAAATCAACGACTTCAAGATAGTGGACTGGGACCGACTTCTGGAAAGCGCCAGCCTGGAAATCCAAATAGTCGCCTTGGAGATAATCAAAAAATGCATAACGGTCTTCGTCACCTATGAAAACTTCAGAGACATCGGCAAAACTTTGAGTAGGAACGTCGCGAATGCGAACGCCCTGTATAGGAGTTGCTTGTACGACGTGTGTATTGAGGTTTATAACCTCAAGAGAGACGATTCTGGGGCCTACAGGGAGATGTTGATACTCGGGCTCATGGACACTGATGCTGATAATAACGAGAAGATCATGAATTTCTGGTCGGAGAATACGAGTATACCTAGCACCGTGGTACTGAGGTTAGTGAAAATTATAGCGTCTCATTGATGTTTATTACTATCTATACAATAATTTCCGAAATCATAGATACTTCGGATACAAGCGATGATGAAGAAATGATGATTCAAATACAGAAGTACTTCGTTACCAAACAGCGTTTACGGAAGATTCAAAATTACCTTAAAGTTAAAGGAAGCTATTCAGATGTGCGGGTATCAAACATATTTGATGATCAGTTATGATGAAAAATACTAACTTCGTGAACGACACTTCAATACTACATCACTGACATCATTGACAATGAACATTCATATGAAAGACTGTTTCTGGCTGGTTTCTGTCAGTGTTCATAAAGAAATCACAATAAGAGATAGATGAATTCATTTCATGTGGACCAACGAAACCAAATGTACTTTCAATAATTCAACTTTTTGATTGACCAAACAATCATTCTGATATTTCTGATGACAAGAAGGTCGCACCAACTCTCTGTTTCTATTCCACTGCTCTGTGCTGGAACATTACCATCGAGGCAATAAGGCCTGCATGCTCTGTGGTGACGTCACCTTAGTGAGGCCTAACCAGCGGCTCGAAACGACAAGCGCTTATGGCGCTATAAGACGACCGCGTATTTCAATTTTAGTTTCAGATCATTATTGAGGCAATTTTGCTGTTTTTTTGGAGGGCTTCCGGTTAAAAAAGAATGCCAGTCGTCAACTGAGCCCTTCTTCGCACCCCATTCGATTTTATTATGGAAAAACGAAGTTTCAAAGCAAAATACAGAATAAAATACAAATACCCACCTACAGCAATCCATTCGAATTGAATATATTGGCCAAAATTGTGGTGAAGGTGAACTTCACACCTACTTATGCAGGGCCCGCAGAACATAAACCTATCGTGAGATTGATCGAAAAAAAATTGTGGAAAATGTATTTTATTTTGATAGACATGCCGTTTGTTATAATTACCTATATTTATCTTGGAGAATTCCTATTACCTAAAAAATTAGCCAGTGAGTGTTTTCAATTTCCTGTTGTTGGATTTTTTACCCAATTGATCGTTAGACTTGAAACAGTAATTTTTAAGGGTAAAACTGCATTTATCATGCGATGTTTTTTTTCGAAAAATTTCATTTGGTACTTACGTATTTTTGTCTGAAAAACACAAATTTGATAATGAAAATGTGAACAAACCACTATTTATCGAGATATTTCAAGAAAAAGTTCGAAATTTCGCCTTCTTTCTCCCCTTGTGTTGGGGGCATTTAAAGCTACTTGCTCTTCTTATTTTGTCATTGGACACTTTATATACTCATGATGTACTTCGATGACACATTTTTATATGGAAAATTCAACAGAAAATATGATTTTCATGGCGAGTTATTATTTACACAAATTCATCATAAGCAATAACCCACAATCATAAGGGAAGATGTTGAGACAATGGAATTCTTACTGCTAATTAGGAGTATTACCAATTCTCACTTGAGAATTTATTTCTGAAATTCCCAATCGTATTTCAACACATGGTCAGTTTTCACTGGTGGTAAATTTCTAGCCGTTTGACATTTTCCGTGACAGTATTGATGATTTTAGCAGCTAAACATCGACCAAAAATTCTTAAAAAATATTAAATTAAAAGGTATTTGAGTGAGGAATCTATTCAAGAAATAAAAAGAAAATTAGTTCATATGCCTATTCCTGAATTGATTGCAGAAGTGTTGCATTTCCGGAAAACTATCATTCTGACCAAGCAACAATTACTATAACTGTGGTAAACCAATGAGATGCGGCTTCCAACATGACAGTCTCGTTTTATGTTCACAAACGGAATCGTCTCCATTTCCAATGTGCATTCTATGAGCCTCAGAACAATTAAACTTGATTTCCTACAACTCTCATCCAGGTTTCCATTTTTGCTGTCGGAAATGTACAAAACGAAAATCGAAGGCCAATTCCTCGGCTTCGTCACCTTCTTCCTCATGGCTCTGGCCACTCGCAGCGAGCACTACGACTCCGAACTCTTCCAACACCCCCTAGAAGACTGCGACTTCGAGGAGTATCAGCTGCAGACCGACTGGCGGCTGCAGCACCCCTCGGTGGTTCCCATGTTCGCGGAGACGCTGAGGACGTTCGACGGCAGCGCACCCGCTGAGGAATCTTCCGGGTTCCGGTTGAGGCAGACGCAGGACACGCTGGAATTCGCGCAGACGCAGAGTTTGCACGAGCAGCAGCTGTCGAAGTTCACGGGGTTGAGTAGCTCGTTGGCGGTCAGCTTCGATGATGGTATGTCTTTTTTATTCATCATTTTGGGTGTAATGAATTAGAGGTTCCTTAATGTACTTGACACTCGCTTGTTTTGAAGTTTGTGTATATTCAGGGCTCGTATTTATAGTCGTTTCCTCAAGTCATCCTTATCTGAGGATTCCTTGCGGACTCCTCAGTACTTGACGTTAAACTTGTTTTATAGACCTCCCTTGAGCATTCCTTTTAAAAGGAGCCCTGCCACTTGGCAACAGTGTATAATTTCAGTGTTCTATGACCAAATTTGTCGTTTCATGTCACGTGTTTTTAACAAAATATGAAATGTAGAATTTGACAATGTTTACTGTTGAGTGTGGATATCGAAAATCGAAAGATTCTAATGATACAGTGATAATCTTCAGAGGTTGGTTCAAATTGGGCCTAACAATATATTACTTCGATCACAGACAAAATATATCCAAGGTTCCGCAAAATGAAAAAAGGGTCGAAGAGTTTATCGGTGACGATGTTGGAAAATTACAATACAAAAATTACTTTATCAAAAACGGATTCTTTCAAGCTGCAATGGAATAATATGCCAGGGAGAGGAAGAATATCCATTTGATTGAATTGTTCTAAAAAATTGAATACTTCGAATGAATCTGTCATTTTGTGGGGTTGTTCATTGAAAAAGTATGTATTTCAATTTCATGAACAAATCATCAAGACGATACCTATATAATTGTAAATATGCTGAGTTTCCATTATTTGTTATATGTATAAGAAACTATCATTTGAAATAAAAAAGATTTACTTTTCAAGTAAACTTGAATTAGCTTCTACTGGAAATCAATATACTAGAATCAGATTTTCTGTACAAATTTCTAGACTTGAATATTCATTTGATTACTACACTCAATTTCACCATTCTATTCATGTAATTCATTACATACCTAATCAACATCAGAGTTTATACATGTATACTTCTATACATTTCAATTTTCATGTCAATACTGAGTTATATTTTTATATCATAATACATCATATTATTCATCCGATTTGAGAGAGAATGTCAATTCTCAATTTCAGAGGATTTTTATTTTTCATGCTCTCCTTTTGGATCTTCAACAGATATAATTCTATAATAATTCTAATTAGAACAAATAAAACACTTAAAAAAAAAAAAAAATAATAATTCAATGTTCGACGTGGCAATTAGCCAGGAAAGTAGTTGTTTTCTGTAAAATATTCAGAATGCTATTATGTGCATACATATTGTTATCTGAGGGAAAATACAAATTCTCAACTTCATAAAATTTTGGTTTCAAATTCTCATCGTGTGTTCAATAGATATATTCCAATGTTCGTCGGGGAATATTGCCTGGAAAGTAGTTGTTCTCTGTTGAATTTACCGAGAAAGAATTGATATTTTCATCACATAGAGAAATCGAATTCTAAATGTATTTCCTTCAGAGTGGCATTGAAATGAGTGCAAATATTTCAAACACTGAGAAAGCTCGACGTGTACTATCGAATGGCATTAATAAAAAAAATTTAGGGATCAAAATTGTAGCTCATTGAGAAGTGGACTGTATTTTTTCATAGGTTTGAAGTGTCTCAGATCGTTCCGTTATCCGAAATTTATTCTTATTTATTGTTTGAATGAGAGAGAGCAAATTACGAGGCTGTGGTTCTTACCTGTGTGCAAGTAGAATTCATCTATTTCTTCATAGGTGGAGGTGAGGAACCAAAACGATTCCTAACACTACGTAATACGACCCGAGCTGGCCAGCGAAACTTCAGTCAAACTGATCTTTGTTCGAGGGAGTCTATTAGTCAATTCATCGATTCTTCGATCGAGTACTGCTCCGAAGAAACTTCTGAGCATATACGAGGCACGCTCCATATTTACGCACAGAATATGAAACACTGCCTATTTTCGCGATAATGATTCATTTAATGAAACAAAAAAAAATAATAATTAGACAAATACAAACAAGAAAAGGGTGAAGACGGAACAAAAATAAAGTTTGAGGTTAGACCCTTTTTTCCACCCAAAGTTCTACACTGTTGCAATTCTGATGTCACTTCTGTTCAAATTTCCATGCGGTAGGCAGAATCACGCGGAGGTCAATCATTTGAATGGTTTTAAATTGGTGTACTTGATTTTTTTCTCGTATTTTGTTCAATTTTCGGGATGAATTTTCTCGTTAATTAGAAGAATCAGAAAAAATTTGATATCATGGGAATATTCCTTAGACTGTATCATATTATTGTGCTGAATATGTGCACTTATTTCAAAAACACCTTGTATATATTTACAATTCTCCATGTTCATAATTTATCTGAGAATATTACTTTTCAACTCTTCCTTGTCTAATATTGCGGGTTTTTGGTTCAGACAAGTGAATTGAAAGTTGTACGAGGAAGAGTCCTTCAATTTTGGAGGTGAAAACTACTGGCTTTCGTAATCGACATAATCAAGTTCTTGCAGTAAAATTTTCAGGTATCTCTTGTAATTGGGTGCATGAAAATATTTTCTATTGTTTTCCGTCACAGGCATCAAGAACCCGAATACTATGATCCTGTCTCAGAAGTATCGAATACCGAGACGCAGATTTCTGAAAGACAAGGCCAAAATTTCCATCAGTTCCGCACACCACGAGGTCAAGAAGCAGGTCAAAAAGGTCCAGCAAAGGATAGATTCGGCTATAGAGAAGGAGAAGAAGGTGACGATTTACAGGAGCTACAGGAAAGGAGATTTTCCCGACATTCAGATAACACTTTCTTCGGTGCTGAAACCGCTACAGATATTAGCATTGGTAAGTTGATAAATTTCCCTCAGGGGCTCACAACTTGTGAGTACGGAAATGGTAAACTCGAGGTACCCTAGCCGGATATTCACCAAACTTGAACTTGTCTTGGGTGATATCCTCTTCTCTCTTCCTTTTCCAGGAGCTATCTCACTTCCAGTCAGCTGCTTATGATCTATAATGTACAGATCCGACCTGTCCCGGAATACTGTTCCCATATTTGGAGTGCAGCACTCAAACATATCCTGAAACTATTGGATTCTGTCCAAAAAAGAGCAATTCGTCTCGTGGCTGATGCCTCGCTCAGAAACTCACTCACTTCTCTGGAACACCGTAGAAAAGTTGCCAATCTGGCTCTATCTTATAGATATTTCCATGGACGATGCTATTCTGAAATATCACCAATTGTTCCTCCCTGGGCTCCCTTCGTTCCCCTTCGTGGTCACTTTGGAGACCTGCGGAACATATCTTTCCAGGGACTCGTTCACTGAACATTACAGGATATCCCTTTTCGTGGGTACCTGAACATAAAAAAAATCCAACGAACAGTGAGGCTCTGGAACTCATTGCCAAAGGAGATGTTCCCCGAAGCATATAACCTCCAGAAATTTAAGAAGAATACCAATTCCTACCTTAATTCCCTTGGTTCTCACGATGTTCTCTGAACATTACAGGATATCCCTTTTCGTGGGAACCAGAACAAGAAAAATCTATCCTATCGGCCTTCCTTGGTCAACTTCTCTTTTCCTCTTCCTCTTCAAGCCCTACCTCATCATCAAGTGGTGTGGGGAGCACAGACCGCGGCCGCTCGACAGATGGAGCATTTAGGGACCGTCCTTGCTATGATTAACATTTACTAAAAACTTAACATACCCTACATGTATAAATCAACTGGTATTTCTGGGAACCTGAGGAAGGGCATCTTATGTTCTGCCCGAACTCCGAAGGTTCGGGCACAGTGGCAACTTTACAAACTTACAATGGATATAATTCAGACTTTCCTAACCCGTATAAAAAAAACAGAGCTAGAACTCGAACTGTCAGTCGAACTGGCAGTCGCATTGGTAGTCGAACTGGTAGTCGAACTGTCGAACCCGCTTCCTTATGTCTTTTAAATAGTTGTCTATATTTTCGGCAACGTGACAGTAAGGAAATCAGGTCGATAGTCCAGGTTCGTTGAAGTCAATATCAAGCCTGTGTTTATGTTCCACTACTATGGAAAAAAGTGGAACCCTAACGACGGGTCTCTGAGGAACAGGGCGACATCTCAGAGTAAGCAGCCTTAGTCTTGTGCTGGGGGCACCACATGGCTGGACCAACCCCTTCGTAGACGAGAATAGGAATCAGAAGAGTTATCTTCAGGAATCTGAACGAAAAGAATCTTTCATATTGAAGTGGCCCTTAGGTAAGATACAATGGGCCACTAGGTCTAAGTGTCGTGGGAGACATCAGTCAGACGATCCTACAAACGGGGTGGAGTGTTTAGTGGCTATACCCTGGAGTCAGGAAACTCCCACACTATCAAATATGAGATTAGATCCAAATGATGTCCATAAAGGATTTCAACAACCTCGACGAAAAAAAAAAGTTGATGAATTGTAATGTATGTACCACCCCCTCTAACTCTTTTATCAATGACAATAGAAGAACAATTGAAAAACAGGCTCACAGGGTATTTTTTTCCTTCTCGAAACACAAGAGAATTTAATTTTTCAGAACTGAAAATTTCCCAGGAAAAATATGAATAGTTAGTGAATTGGGCGTCCTGATTCCGAATCTTTAGTGATTTTAGACCTATTTTGACTCCTGATATAATTTTCCGAAAATTGGGATGGTTCCATGGCTGTTGGAGAGCAGTGTATATCACTGAAGAGGACCCCACTTGGTCAGAGAGTGCATTTTTGGTTTATCTCTTGCTCCAGCAAATTTCAGGATCCTCACCCAGCGATTACATAAGATACAGCGGTGTTTTCATTAGAAGTGGGTCACACTGTGTATATATACAGGGTGGGGCATCGTATACGACACGGTCTTTATGTGGAGAACCATACAATATTTCAGAATTATCTCCAACTGGCTGGATAGAGAATTTATTCATGTACAATTTTGAATTATTTCGAGATATACAAGGTGTTCCATAAAAAAGATACATATCGAAGTTATATTTTTTTAAATGGAACACCCTATATTTTTTGTGTTTCTCGGATTCTGCAGCACAAATGGAGGTGAGTTTCTTCAATGTTCCCTATACCTATCATTTTCCGTTTTCGAAATATTTGAAGAATTAGTGAATTTTATGGTACATAAAGATAATTTTTATTTGGCTCTGTAAATAATTTTGAACCTTCGTAATAGCTTCGATTGTTTGGAGAAAGATTAGAAATATACCTTCATTTATATTTCAATAACAAAATTATGGTTGGAAACTTACAATTTATGAAGTTGAAAAAGTTTGTTATTTCAAATGGCACACCCTTTAGTTAGTTACAAATTCTGACGTAGAATTTGATTTCCTTTCGACCTGTACCATGGTTTCCTATAGATAAACCCAATACATTTATAGAAATTGGCGATTTTATTCATAACAGCAGACATCAGTTAACTTTTTACCTATTATTACTTTCTTCGAATCAATGTAAGGCGGCTAGGACTCTGGTGTCATGCGAATTTTGTTTGTTAATTTTCAATTGACAGTTCGAAAGCGTTTGGTTTGAGGATGTAATTATGAGAAGTTTCACTGGCGAATCAATCAAAATGAAGACTTATCCTATGGAAGAGAGAATCAATCAATCAATATGCTTCTGATGATTGGCGAGTGTCATAAAAATTGCCTTTTAGCGTCAAGAGTATACGCTCAAAAATATCCAAACCTCACTCATCCGAATCGGAAGGTATTTTAACGATTACTGCAAGAATTTCGGAGATCTGGAACTCTATCTTATGCGAAAAGAAATTCGATAAAACCCATTGCAGATAATGAAGAAAATGAGTTTCTCGTGGTTGGATCTGTCATAGAAGACCCTCATACCAGCCAACGCGGAATTGAAAGTGAAACAGGTATCAGCAGACGAAGCATATCAAGAATATTAAAAAAATATACACTCCATCCATACAATATCCAGATGCACCAGACACTTTATGAAATGGATTTTCATCGCCAAGTTGATTTTTGTATTTGGGTTTTTGACAGATTAGGTGAAGATGAACACTTTATTGATCTAGTTTTGTTTTCTGATGAATCAACTCTTCATAACAACGGCCTAGTAAACAGACATAATTTCCATTATTATAGTGATGAGAATCCTCATTTCTTCCACACAGTTGATCATCAACATAGATGGTCTGTCAACGTGTGGGAATTCTTGGGTCCCAAGTAATAGGTCCTTACTTTTTTGATGGAATTTTGAATGGACGATAATTCCTCAGATTTTCATGCCATAACCTACCTGATTTTCTAGAAAATGTGCCTTTGAATATCAGACAGCAGATGTGTTTACAATTGGATGGTGCTCTAGCACATTTCCAACGGAATGTCAGGAAATTTCTAGACACACGTTTCCCAAATAGATGGATAGGGAGAAGCGGTTCGCAAAATTGGCCACCGAGGTCCCCGGATTTGATCTGTTTTTTGTCTTGGGGATATATAAAAAATATTGTTACCGTGAATCCACAAATGTTATTAAATGTTGAAAGATCCTTTGAAAAAAGGTTACGTTTGTGTATAGAAGAAAATGGAGGTCATTTTGAGCATTAACTTCAATTTATTCAAAGAAAACAAACAAAAATCTCCAAGTCAGTCGAGTTGTTTTGTTTGAAAATACTTGGACCTCATTGAGAATGGGTGATTTCCACGAGTTTTTAATTTATTCGTTCATTAAAAGTTTTTTTTCTTGTGTTATTTCCTATCAAAAACTGTTATGACTATAACCACCAGATATATTTTCGACATGTCCAAATGTCAACGACTTGAGAATGAATATGATAATTTATAATCCCCGTTTTGAATGAAATCGCTAATTTCTATATAGGGAACCATGATACAGGTCGAAAGGAAATCAAATTCTACGCCAGAATATGTAACTAACTACATGGTGTGCCTTTTGAAATACCAAAGTTTTTCAACTTCATGAATTGTTAGTTCCCAACCATAATTTTGTTATCACCCTGTATGAATTTTGACATTGAAATATGAATGAAGGTATATTTCTAATCTTTCTCCAAACAATCGAAGCTATCACGAAGGTTCAAAATTATTTACAGAGCCAAATGAAAATTATCTTCATGTACCATACAATTCACTAATTCTTCAAATATTTCGGAAACGAAAAATGCGGACTCCGAAAAAGAACAAATATATAGGGTGTTCCATTAAAAAAATATAACTTTGATATGTATTTTTTTTATGGAACACCCTGTATATCTCGAAATGTTTTGATGTTCATGATTTGATTGTACATGAATGAATTCTCTATCCAGCTAGTTGAAAATAATTGTGAAATATTGTATGGTTTTCCACATAGAGACCGTGTCGTATACGATGCCCCACCCTGTATATCCAGTTTTCTTATGTTCATAAATATATCTGGGAATATTACTTTTCAAGATCTTGAAATGTTGTGTGGTTAGTAGTGATTTCCCCCTAGTTCTAGTATCATTCTTCATTTTAAGGTTATTTTTTTGACTTACTTTGTCAATATATATCGAAGACTGGAACCTTTGGCACGATAATACACTACACTGTTTTACCACTAACCAAACCGATTTTTTAACGCCTCGACACGTGTTTCGCTAACTATGTTAGCATCTTCAGGAGAAGATTAAAAGTAAAACGTTTTAATCTTCTCCTGAAGATGCTAACATAGTTAGCGAAACACATGTCGAGGCGTTAAAAAATCGGTTTGGTTAGTGGTAAAACAGTGTAGTGTGTTACTTTGTCAAAGGAATTTCACATCTTCAGACAATGAAGCATGTTCTCTCTCTCTCTCTCTCTCTCTCTCTCTCTATTCTCGTTTCATTTCGGGTATCTCTTTGCAGCACGACAACGAAATATCGAAAACACTATTCACAGAAATCTTCAAAGGCCTCGTCGACAAGGCAGGCGACAACCGGCTGTTTCTCGACACGATCACCAAGGCCATCAGGAGCATCTTCACCTCGTCCACCCAGTACCACCCGAACCTGATCGGCGCCCTCTTCGACATCCTGCTGAGACACAAAGACAGGATCCAGTTCGACGCGCAGACTGTCGCTTTCGTGGCGCAGGAGAGTGGCTTGGTGTCCGTCGGGACGCTGCTGCTCGAGGAATACGTCTGTGCTTGTGACAGTTTGCCGAGTAGTAGCAAAATGGGGGTGGGACAGCAGGATAAGGAGGCGGTGTATTGGGTGAAAATTGCAGAGTAAGTGCTTTTTGTTATATTCAGGGCTTTTTTGCAGGTGAGTTCATAAAATGTTCAAGCATTTCTTAAAGTAAATCTTGGAGGATATAAGGAATGAACATTGAATTCAACTAAAATTGTGTATTAATAGGTCCATGCGGGTTCCGATTTCAGAACTGTTCAAGAATCGTTCTCGAACTGCGTTGAACTAATGCGCAGTCGTTTCGACTGTTTCAGAACGGTTCAGAAATTATGAAAACCCGAACGCGGCAGAAGAGAGCGTCTGAGAACATAACCTCTATTCAGAAATTGCGAAAAAACAATAGTTTGGAACCTGTCTAATAATATATTCTGAAGCTTCAAGCTCTCCTTTGAGTCTATTCACAATATCTCTGGAAGCCCTCTGTGGAGGAATGGTGAATATATTCCATCATAGCATTCGTAGCTAAATTTTCAATATGTTTTGTTCCTTGTACCTACATGAATTTCGACACCCACCTAAAATGTTCAATGAATTGTGTATCTGAATACAATGGCAAAGTATCTCCAACATAATCCTCCATTTTCTGATTATCTAACAAAAGTTCGAGAATTATCAGATTAGGCACAATATTTTCAGCAAGGAACTCCTTCACCACTGCTTCTTGAAGATGAAGAGCTACTACTATCAAATGAATGTACTAACTCCATGATATTGAGAAAATATTGGAAAGAGCAATAAACAGTAGAATAAACAAATATACAGGGCGTTGCTAAATTCGACCGACAACGCTTGACAGGTGATAGCCCTCGTGATTTCATAATCACTGAGATAGGGACATACGGTCTTCAAGTGTTCAGGCCTTGAGATACAGGGCGTTGAAGTAAAGAAATTAGAATAGTTTTTTCGCAATATCTCAAGAAAAATTAAATATAATGCATTCAAATTCGGTGTATGGTTTCATCTTTCAATGTTTAATTTTTTGACCAGAAAGACATTCCGAGAATTTCATCCAGAGGTACAGAGGGTTGTGATAACATTTCCTCCAATATTTTCTACGCCACTGATGGTATTTCGATTATTTCTCGAAGTGATTGTTAAATTTTGTTGAAAAAATGCATCACCTTCAACTGAGCTAAAATGAACAGTTATCGAGATATTTGACCCAAAATAGAAGTTTGCATAGTAATTTTTCATCTTCCTCAGTAGTAGAAAATTACGAAAATTTTTGTTTTCTCTCTATGCGTGGAATAACTATTTCTGTTCAGCTATAGAATGAGATCTGAATAGTATCTAATTTACTCAACACCAGAAAAATATTTTCTACTACTGAAAATGATGAAATATTACTATGCAATCTTCTATTTTAGGTCGAATATCTCGAAAACTGTTCATTTCAGCTCAGTCAAAGGTTATGAACCACTGGATTCAATATCCGGAATAGCATCCTGGTCAAAAAATGACCCATTCAAAGATGGAACCATATACCGAAATTGAATCCATTATATTCAATTATTATTCTTAAGATATTGCGAAACAACTATTTTTATTTCTTAACTTTAACGTCCTGTTTCTCGAGAACTGAACACTTGAAGACCGTATGTCCCTATCTCAGTGATCACGAGGGCTATCACCTGCCAAGCGTTGCCGGTCGAATTTCGCAACACCCTGTATATCATTATTACGTTACGCTACAACAGACAGAATCCAAAACTAAATGAAATGAGCATGCGCCAAAAATAATCCTAGAACGGTTCATGCTCAAGAGCAGGTACTGGATAGTTCTAGGACCGTCCCAGGACGATTCTGGCAGTTCTAGAACCGTAATAGTTCGAACCCGAATGAACCTAATATACGTGTAAGAGACTAATAAGTATAAAGTTATTAGTTATTTTGACAAAATATCGAAAAGGAATCAAATCAAGATGAACGAAAGTTTCGTAGTCGTCATAAGAAATGAAATTTGTCGTTTGTGTTGTCTGTACTTTGTCGTGTTTGTTGTTATTGATAGTTTTTTTTTTATCATATCTGAAACGAAACGAAAGAGTATCCAAAAGTTTGAGAAAAACTTTCGTCAAAACTACCTGTCCGATTCCAACGTTTTTGTTTTGAATGAAAAGTTATCTCCTTCTGAATATTGGCGTGCAAACTGGATGTAGCAATAATAGTGCGTTTTTTTTTTTCATGAAATATGTAATACCCTGTAAAGTGTAACAGTTACATCATCAACTTGGAATTGAAATTACACTTTAGCCTTATATTTTTTCAACGTTCCTTTTTTGGATTCACTCGATTATCTTTTCTATTACATAACAGGATATTGAATTCAGCTTGGGATGGCATTTCTTTGAATGGAAGCCTTTCAGCTGAAAGGTAGATAGATATTGGATATTTTAGAATTACATATTATATAGTGTAAGGATTTTTGTTGATGCAAGATAATGCCAGGCCTCACGTCTCCAGAGTTGTGAGAAAATACCTAGAGGAAATCCTTATCGCTACCATGGTATGGCCAGCTTAGAGCCCGGATTCAAATCCCACTGAGAATTTCTGGGACAAGATTACAAGAGGAACGTAATTTGAATACTTTGGAAGTCGCACGGCAGACTGATTCAAATTTGGGAACACTTGGACCAAAATGATATAGGGTCTCTAATTTAGAGTATAGTCCGTCTTTCTGGATATGTTATTCGTGCGGAAATATTTGCTACTGGCCTTTTAGTTGAACTTATGACTTCGCATTTTGTTTCGTTTTTTCGTTGTTTAATTTGGATATTAATTTGCCATTTAATCATGTTATTGTGTTCCTAGAGTAATTGGAAAGATAATGGAGTGAATCTAAGAATGAAAGGGCGAAGGAAAATAAGGGCAAAGTGTAATTTCAATTCTAATATGATTGTGTAACTTCAACACTCTACAGGGTATTACAATTTCATGAAAAAAACACGCTTTAATTGCTACCCGGTATGTATAAAAAAAGGTTTTTATGCGAATGCAGTTTGCACACTATTTTTCAGAAGTTAATAACCTGTCATTCCAAACAAAAAACGTCTAAATCGAAGTAGTTCTGACAAACATGTACCATGGACTTTTGGTTACTTCTTGGAGGAGTGTATTTCGTGAAAAAATATGGTACGGCAGACAGTTGCCTTTGTGGCTCTGGAGAGCGGCTTGGTGTCCTTCTGGACGCTGCTGCTGGAGGAATACGTCTGTTCTTGTGACAGTTTGCCGAGTAGTAGCAAAATCGGGGTGTGCCAGCAGGATAAGGAGGCGGTGTTAAGATGTTTATAATTCCTCTAGTGTGCCTACTTTTCAATTGTTTCGTCATACTAGCTGTCGATATGAACAATTGAATGCCAGTTCGGAACGTGGGGTTCTCATATTCGATGATAGATGGCGTGAACGATGGACAATTTCTTGAAAATTTTCAAAATGCCTTTCGAATCTCATTATAAAGTTGAACTAGACTTTCAATGATGTGTTTTCCTTCTTAAGGGACCTGAAGAGTTTCGTTGATGATGCACGAATTCAATGATAGCTGACAAGAAGCATCTAGAGAAGAGACAAAGCGCAACAAATACTCCGTGCGGTAGATTGTAGATGGGTCGTATAGGCTGGGAGACCTCTCGATCACTGCGACCTAGAAGATCTATTGTGATTACCCTTATCTAGTTCTGGTCCTCTAACCCTAGACTTCTGATGAAGCCAACAATTTTCCTGACGGTTGAATTTTCCACCTCAGCAGGGGTGAGATAGACCTGTTCTAGGGGGTTCAGCCTTTGGCGGACTAATACTTCACATGAGCAAAGTATGTGTTCCGCGGTTTCGGTCGCATTGTTACAAAAGGGGCAAGTGTCAGTCTTCGCCAGGCCCATTTTTTCCGTGCGTAACATCTTGATCTTGACATCTTTCACGAGTGTCATGTGTTCAGCAAAATTTTCATCCAATTCAAATAGAAATATTATTAACTGAGAGCATTAGTAGCTTATTATGTGTGAGGATTATTTGAACATCCGAACATTCGATTTATTATATGTACCAAAAGTGAGTAAATAAACTATTATCACAGGATTTTCTTGAGTTAGGACTTCGTGTCGTTCAAGAATTCACCATTTAAAGTCGAAAATATAACGCACCCTTTTCATTTGAACAAAAACTTGTGAAAATGAAAATGTTAACTCGAATGAATATGACATGATGCCTCGCTATCTTTACACAAAGTAGGCGATATCGAGAGATTTCGAAACTCCTTCCAATAGGAAGTGATAACACCATTTGACTTTCTATATATCTATGGCGGTGTATTGGGTGAAATTTACTGAGTGAGTGTTTCTTGATATATTTTCTGAATTATTCCCACACTGACCTTTATATTTTTGCAATCTAGAATGCCAATTGAAATGAAAATCAGAAGAAGTATGCTCAACTTTCTGAATGAAAAACATAAACAATCAAATAATTCCCATGAATTATTGATAAAAATGAATCAAATAACGAATACAGCGAAAACTGCTCTTATACAGATTGTTTGTCCAATCGTTTCATATGTTTATTAAAAATGGTCCTTCAGGAAAACGTATGTGCTTGTGACAATTTGCCGAGCAATAGCAAAATGAGGAATGTACAAACTTCACAAACGATAAGATTTCCACAAAATTCTCATACACACGACATGTTTCGCTAACACAGTAGCTTCGTCAGGTGATAAACTAAATCTTATCGTTTGTGAAGTTTTTACATTTGTCATGGATTTCCATTAAGTTACGGCCGAGTCAATTAAAAAAAAAGCAAAATGAGGGTTGGGCAGCAGGATAAGGAAGCGGTGTATAGGGTGAAACTTGCAGAGTGAGTGCTTTTTCACCGAATCAATTTCACACTGATGAGCTTTATATATTTGAAATCTTGTTCATTGATATTGATCGATTGATTGTCTTTATAACCCAAAGAACCATTTCTGTTCATAATCGAGATACATGAATACATATAAGAAAATTGAATTATATTATCAGGTTAACCTATGATTTTCATTCAGTGAAAACAAATTCATATTTTTCTTAAGATGAATATTATAATATGGAAATCAGAAGAGGAAGGTATAACCTTCTGAGTGAGAAACTAAAAAAATAATAATACATAATTCCCATTACCTATATTGATCACAATCAACAAATTAATTAATGAATACAAGGAAACAGCTCTTATATACTGGACCGTGAATGAATTAATAAATAGATGATAATGAAAATACAACTTCAATGAAAACGCAGCTATCAATAAGGTTCGGTATGAACGGAGGCCAGGTAGCCGTGCGGACAGAGTATCAATATTCTAATTCGCATTCGCTTGTCGGTCGTGGGTTCGATTTCCATCGACTGCAGACATTTTTCTGATGGCACAAGAAAGTGTTTGGGATCACACGTTAAAAGGTAAGGCCCCCGTCATTTCTTGCTCGCACAAAACTTTCGAATACTTCTGAGGGTTGCTCGTAAGGGGGCAACCGAATGACGAATAGAACAATTTTAGAACAATTTCAGCTATGCTGCATATCAATAAATAGTAACATTCTAGCTATACAAGTATATAAAAATAACAGTAACATTTCTGTATACAAACAAAGTGAAAACGGCAACGTAAGTTGCGATAGAATAATTGCCTTTGAGCTCTGTGTGAACATGGCATGACGTCAGCAGAATCGTGAAGGAGCCAGCCAAATAATATTTGAATTTTTCTCTGAAGTAAAATCTGGGCCTATGGAAAAATTGGAAAATACGAATACAAGGGTTTTTTCATAAGCTTCAAGGAGAAATGGAAATAAGGATGAAAATGTAGACCATGAGGCATGAACATGACAACAAAACCGACAAATGACATTTCTCATAACAATAATTGCTCATCTATTAGAAAACTGCGGTTCGACCACGTTCATCCTGAATTAATTATTTCCCTTCAGTTAAGGCTGCAGAAAGAGAGAGAGAGAGGGAGAGCCATGATCATGAATAAAATTTCTGTACATTTCGTTTTCAGACTGTATAGAGAGCTTGAAGAATGGGACATGGTCCGTACAATATTTGTGGAGAAAATGAACTGCAAGGAGGACGTACAACGAGCCATAAAATTCGAATCTGAATCGAAATTCAGAGATGCACAATACCTGTACAAGCGACTTATCGAGACTGATCTTTCACAGGAGAGAAAAGATTTCTACTATGACTCGTACTTTAGGTAAGTGAATCAAGATTCAAAGAAAACTCGGTTTCAGAATGATGTTATTCCTGACATTGACAAGAAAAATAATCGCTTTTCTCCCGTTGTCTACCATTGCCGTTCAATATATTGAACTTTTTGTGGAACAATTTGAGCTGTCCACTTTTACAGAATTTATACTCTTTGAGCTTCTGGCTTAGAAAACTAATAAAACAGAATATATGATTTTTCAACAAAAAATAAACAAAACACGTACCTCAATCCTTAAATGAAAAATGAACTCCTGAAACAAACTGAACAGATGAAATATCTTGGTATTTGGTTTGATAGAAAGTTGAAGTGGGACAAACATATTGATGTTTTGACAATAAAATATCTCGATATAATTGCCAACACGATTTTCTAGTCCCATATACTAGGTCGTATCATCTATTTGATGAATGTTTGGGATCTTGTTCAGAATATTATATATTTACTTTATGTTCAAAATGTCAGTGAAATTGGTCTAGCGAGTAAATATACCATGTATGCAGATGCTACAGTACTTTTATATGAAAGCAAGAATCCTTCAAATTTAGAAAATATGATAAATAAAGACTTGAGAATATTTGAAAAATGTCAACACTCTAACCGTTTATCGATGAATACCTCATCGATACCTCAACCTCAAATTAGGAAATGAACTCTCAAAACAAGCTGACCAGATAAAATATCTTGGTATTTGGTTTGAAGACAAGTTGAAGTGGGACAAACATATTGATGTTTTGACAAAGAAAATATCTCCAATTATTGGTGCATTGAGAAGATGTCTCAAACTTGATATTGAAATTGCAAACATGATTCTCTACTTTCATATACTGAGTCGTATCAACTCTTTAAAAAAAAGTTTGGGGATCTTGTTCAAAAAATGATTTCAATAAAATATCAACATTATACAGAGAATCGTTAAAAGTACTGTACCGTCTCCCATTTGATACACCAACCAATCAATTGTATGAAATAACAAATAAGTATTCTTTAGATGAAAAATATTGTATTGAAACTCTTAAAATATCATATAATATCATAAATAAAAAATGGAAGTTGAATATTATTTTGATACGCAATTCTGAAATTCATAATCATGAAACTAGACAATATAACTTGTTTCATCTTGACGCCGCTAGCTCCATAGTCGGACAAAAAAGATTCACTCATTCAGCCTCAACTGAATTCAATAAACTACATCGCAATATCAAAAATTGCAAAAATGAAGTAAAAAACCTGATTATTTCTGAGCTAAATGAATAAAATTATTAATGTTATTTTACTATGTTTTTTCTACAAATATTATTCTTTGTTTGCCAATTTATAGTTGTTGATATATTTTGAATGATGAAATGTTTACCTATGTGAGTCATTAGTGTGGCAAAGTGAGATAACGGCTTTACTGTTTGAGATAGATGGACAAAAATTTCAGAAATGTTCTAGGATCGTGAGCAGCACATTTCCAAATTATTTCGCTTTATAAAGGGTGACTCAGAAATGCGTGGCGTATCAAAGTTATACTTTTTCATGAGGGACATCCTGTATTTCATTGCATTTCCGCATTCTCCTTTGTGAGCTGATTTCATCAATGCATCACACTTGGGGTCTAGCGAGATTTTTCAACTTTAGGATTCTTTAACGTCGAAACTATCCATTATTGGTCAAAACGGCTTTCATGTCCCTATTCCAACTTCTGATTTACTATCTACTGACATTTAATTGAAACAAATACAGGGTGGTTCAAGATTCAGCATTCTGACCACCCTTGTATCTGTTCCCATTAAATGTCAGTAGATAGTAAATCAAGAGTTAGGATAGGGACATAGAAGCTGTTTTGACCAATAATGAATAGTTTCGACGCAAAAAATCCTAAAATTGAACAATCTTGATTTTGAATACCCTTTATCTCTGTAATCATTCTTGTTAGACCCCAAGTGTGATGCATTGATGAAATCAGCTCACAAAGGAGAATGCGAAAATGCAATGAAATACAGAGTGTCCCATAAGAAAAAGTATAACTATACGCCACGCATTTCTGAGTCACCTTGTATAAAGCAAAATAATTTGGAAATGTGCTGCTCATGATCCTAGATCATCTTTGAAATTTTTGTTCATCTATCTCAAACAGTTAAGCCGTTATCTCACTTTGCCACACTAATGACTCACCCTGTATAATTATGTACCAGAGCCCATTCTAGCTGGAAGTTATTTGTTCAATAAATGAATAAATAAAAATACTCGAATGGAAGCAAATTAGGTAAATATCAACATTATATAGAAAATCATTAAAAGTAATATATTGTCTCTCAATTGATACACAACCCATCAGTTGTATGCAATAACAAATACGTATTCTTAAAATGAGATGTACACTGTACAGGGTATATGTCACGACGAGCGTACACATCTTTATATCGAGAATCAGTTGGGAGAAATCCATGAAAATGTGCATGCTTATATTTCAGAATACGCTCTTTTCATTTAAAATATTTTCGACAATGCAGTGTTGCCACTTCTACTAGAAAAAGTAGCAACATTGATATTTCAAATGGAACACCCTGTATTTTATCGCAGTTTCAGATTCTTCTAATTCTTCTGATTCCATCGATATAACACACTTGGGGTCTATCAAAAATGATTACAGAGATATAGGGTGCTCAAAATCGAGATTTTTTAACTTTAGGATTTTTTTGTGTCGAAACTATTCATTATCGGTCAAAACGGCTCACATGTCCCTATCGCTACTTTTGATTCACTATTTGCTGATATTTAATAGGAACAGATACAGGATGATTCAAGATCCAGAATTTTTTTTTTTTTTTTTTATCGATTGGAGCGCACGAAAGGGATTTTGATCAGAATAGAAACATATAATGCCACAAATAAAAATTTCAAGTCGAATATTATTGTGATATAGAAATCTGAAATTGATAATCATGAAACTAGACAAAATAACTCGTTACACACTAACGCTGCTAGCTCCATACTTGTACAAAAACAATCCACTCATACAGTCTTAACAGAGTTCAATGAACTATACAGTGTGTCCCACTTACCATGCTCACCATGGGTATCTTCTTAACAGTGAGAGATACGAGGTCGGTTAAATGACACCAAATGTGGAGTTTGTCAAGGCCAACTATAATGTGAAAAATTATTCCGATAAAATCTATTCATTTTTGTTTTATACGCAAAAAACAGATTTTGATCATTTTCATGTCTCCTCCGTAACTTCTTTATTTATGAAAATATTCAAATAGGAATTTCACATTCTCATTGGCAGTTTTTCAAAGTGATTCCGAAAAAAATATGAAATTTATACCAACTCTTCTAGAATTTGAGATATCAGCACCAACTTTAGTTTTTCGAATGTAGGTCATAGCTCACTATGACTTAGTTACAAATAACTTTTTTTTCTCTTTTAGATGATATGTCGCAGTAATAGTTTCGTGTTGATAACAACGGAGTTATCGTCATTTATACAAAATCAAAAAATTATTTGGAAGCCGCCATCTTGAATTTATAAATTTTAATACAAAAATCATGATCTCCGACCTCAAAAACCCCCACTTACCAATTTTGAATGGAATCGGAACAAATCTTGTCCGCCATCTTGGAGCAGCCATTTTTTTTTATTTCAACAAAAATTCCATAATGCATTGTCACCGGATTTACGAACATCTGCCAAATTCCAAGTTGATAGGACGGCCAGAAGTGACAATGCATTATGGAATTTTTGTTGAAATTAAAAAAAATGGCTGCTCCAAGATGGCGGACAAGATTTGGTCCGATTCTATTCAAAATTGGTAAGTGGGAGTTTTTGAGGTCAGAGATCATGATTTTTTGTTAAAACTTATAAATTCAAGATGGCGGCTTACAAATAATTTTTTGTTTTTGTATAAATGACGATAACTCCGTTGTTATCAACACAAAACTATTACTGCGACATATCATCTGTGAGAGAAAAAAAAGTTATTTGTAACTAAGTCATAGTGAGCTATGACCAACATTTGAAAAACTAAAGTTGGTGCTGATATCTCAAATTCTAGAAGAGTTGGTATAAATTCCATATTTTTTTCGGAATCACCTTAAAAAAACTGCCATGAGAATGTGAAATTCATATTTGAATATTTTCATAAATAAAGAAGTTACGGAGGAGACATGAAAATGATCAAAATCTGTTTTTGCGTATAAAACAAAAACGAATAGATTTTATCAAAATATTTTTTCACATTATAGTTGGCCTTGACAAATTCCACATTTGGTGTCATTTAACCGACCTCGTATCTCTCACCGTTAAAAAGATACCCATGGTGAGCATGGTAAGTGGGACACACTGTATATGCCAATATAAAAAATTGCTGAAATATAGGTAGGTACTCTCGATAAGTGAAAAGACTGATTATTTCTGAACGAATCGGATAGCTTGTTATTTTACTGTTTTTTTTTATTATTCTATATTCTCCAATTTATTGTTGTTGATGTATTTTGAATAAAATGTTTACTTGTAGGTACATTATCATGTACTTCCTCATACAAGATCCTATTCTGTCCGGGAGTTATTTGTTTTGATAAATAAATAAAATTGAAACATATTAAAAAATAATGATCAAAATAAAAAATAAAAGTGTCAAATACATCAAGGAACTCCACTAGCAAATAATGCCCGAATGTGACATTGCACATTACTCGTCCGATTATTTTCAAGGTGTTTCGCGAGTTTGGGCGAATGGGAGGAACTCCCCAAAGTCATCAACTCGGTCGTCGAGGGCGAAAACCCTTGGCACCAATTGTGGGACAACGGTTGGCAGCAACAGAAACTCCTACCCTGGTACATAAAATCGCAAGTGAGAAACACCCTCTTTACCCAAGAATGGAATCCCGACTTCCTCAAGGACATCAATGACTGCCTCTCCGATCCAGATAAGAATGAATATCTCCGCGGCCATTTCTCGGAAGAAATTTGTGCCATGTGGTTGTGTCAGAAAGACGTGGTCACCGCCAATGTTTACTTGAAGAGCTGTATGAGGAGCTTCCTGGACGAATGGCAGCTGCTCAATCCCATGTTTCAGTCTCTGCGCTTCCACAAGCTGCTGCAGCTGCAAAACGTGATAGAAACCGAGGATTTCCTCAACATCTACGATAACCTCTTGGATGACCCGGAGGTTTCTTTGAGGAAGTACGCCCAGAGGCTGCAAAAGTCTTCAACCGACGTTCTGCCTACGGTGATGCTCAATGAAACCCGCTTGCTGTATCGCACCCAGTTCATCAACCTTCTACTGGAGAAAATTTCCGGAATAGAAGGTGTTGATTTCCGGGATGTTGCCAAGGAGTTGCAACTCACAAAGATCCGGATGGACATAGATCTAATAAACTCCGCTGTCGGGTTCGGTAACTACTACATGGCGAGGAAGTACTTCAAGAAGTACCTGGGGAAGGTGAATGCGAAGCTGCAGGTCGCCTACGGGAATATTGCTTGTCTCAAGGCGAGGATATCCGAGTCGGCGCAAGTGGAGGTGAAGTGGAGCTTGGAGGGAATCGCCTTGCTCGGTGAGTACTCAAGAGTTGCCTCGATTTTTGTTATCCAATTTTCTATTTCCACGAATAGGGATATTTTCTTGAATTTCATTTAAATTCATAAAGGGTTTGAAGTCATTGAACGGTCACGTCTGTGTTTATTATTCCCAAAATTATTAAACCACGAACTTCCGATTAGTAGTTCCTCACTGTCAAGTTTGCTTCTTGTTTCACCTTGTTATCCACTCACGGAAGTATGACGGGAATGATGATAGCAAATCGCTAAAATAAGTGCAAATTACAGCACAGGAGAGTGCAATTCTTCAATCATTCTGCGCAGGACAGTGATTGGTACAAGTGCCGTTCGATAAAATACAATGTTTTCACATGCCTTTGGGACATATATCATTTCTCTGGTAGAAGTCCATGTTTGCCCAAAGTGGTGTGGAAGTTTCCAAAAGGAAGAAGGAAAGCTCAAAGTCATCTCCACTACTTTATTACTGATGTAAATCAATCAAGGGAAATGTTTCAGACTTATAAAAGTCCATCTTCAGCCGTATTTAGGAGTTAAAGTAGGTGAAACAGTATTTTAAATTAGATGCTGATGTCTATCATCATGATAGCATGGTTATATTTGTAAAAAGGGGGGTATTGTATTTTTAATATATCGATATCGTCCCAATATAAAATCAGGATTCAGCCAATTTGATGTGATACCTGGGATGGAGTCCTGTCCAATGATTTCGTTTCCAACTCATGCTAGACGTTGAAGATCAAAATATTCAATTGAATCTTCGATTTCAGAATCTGTTGCCGCGTCAAGTCAAGACCAAATGATCCTCCTGTCTTGCAGTATGAAACTCTTCGACGTGTTCAGCAATCTCTCTTCAACCTTGTCATCAAATCCCGAAATATTCGAACAGTGTAAACCTAATTTGGAAGATAAATTAGGTCGGGTGATTTCGACTACGAGCGACATCCAAACGTACGCTTGGAAACAACTAAAAGCCACCATCGATAAATCTCAAGATGACAGCATGGAATGTGACAACTACGAAGACAGGTAAATTTTTTCCTCGTTTGATAATATGATACACTGCATTGCCTAATTAGGTACCATATATAGTTTCGATGTTGATTGTATCATTATTGTCTCGGTAAAAACAAAATCCTACCGACTGCACCAAATAAAATAATGCCACGAAGCATAAGAGTTCAGTTGATGACTTATTTCAACGTCTTTCAATCAACTGTAATGAATGAATACCATCTCTTGACTGACTCAGAATGTGAGGTGATGAATGAAATTGTGAACTCATAGTATTCCTGGAAGCAATGTAAGTAATTTTTTACAATTATTACAGCTTCCCCGAAGATTCAAGGGTAGTATCAACCAGATAGTTGAAAGCATGAAAATTATATCATTTCCTTGGTACTGTGGGTTGAGGTGGTCTTGATAATTTTTTTATAATTATGCCACAAAGTGGATACTTGTTTATTCAATGATTCATGTTATGATTCTCAACAACTATAAGGGTGACCTACCCCCCTATATCTTCGATGTTTTTTTGTATGGATATTTCAAATTTGGTACATCGATTCGATTTAATGACTGTATAATTTTACTAGTATCAGACGAGATATGTCACTTCAGGTTTGACCGGAAGTGACATCTCGTATTTTTTTGAAAAATCTCAATTATATTACCAGATTGTGGATTGAAAATATGATTGTGATATATCGTTAGAAAGGTAATTTTATACCTAATCGTAATATAGAAAAAAAGTATGGTTTGTATACGAAATGAAAAAAAAAATGTAGGGTCCGATTTTCTCTGATACTAGCAAAATCATACACTCATACAATCAAATAGATGTACCAACAGCCATTCAAAATGGCAACAAAGCAACAGGAGGGTAAATGAATCGTGATTTGTTAAATGGGCATCAGTCACCCATCCAGCAATTTTGAGCTTTTATTTGCGTTGAACTCTACATTAATCAAACTATCGTTTCTGTTAAGACGGCCTCTGTCCTAGCATTCATAAGGTTGTTATGGGCGCGCAAAAAAATCAGAGTTTGTTATAAAGGCATCAGTCCAGTGACTCATGTCGTTTTAACAAAATTGCGACGGCAACGTGTTGGATTGAAAATTGTTGTTAATATTTACTGCAAGAAATATATGAAAAAGAGCGGAAGTGAGAGTAATGTAGACATTGTGACTGGACAAAGTAAATCACGCAAGAGGAAACGCGATCCAAGGAAATTACGTCAAAAATGACAGATTTCGTCAAACTTAAGATCAATATGCCCGATGAACAACAGCCATTTTATGAAGACATCTCAAACTGGCGAGTGAACAATAACATCCAAGAAGACGAATAAAATTAAAAGTTATGAACTCACTAGTGTTTTATTTAGTTTTTAATGATAATTGTTAAATATTATGATTCAAGATTGTTTGGAAAACATATTATATTTTGATATTAGTACATTAAACAGAAAAAATTAGCTATAAAAGGATATTCATTTCCGGGATATTTTAAATTTTTTGAAAGCACATCAGTCATTAATATAAAAGATTGCAAAAAATACAGTATATGAATTAAAAAGAAGATTTGCCTCAAATAATATACAGTTGATGATATATAACATCTTGAAATCATTAGAATTTTCATTTTGTTTTCCTCCGATAATTTATACTTTTTTTCTCAATTATCCCAAAACTTGGTCTTCTGGAATGATGCCCATCTAATAAATCACGATTCAAATTGATTCCGGGTCACCCGGTTTATCACATAAAGACCATTTCTTGATGATTTTTTGATTTTCTTCTGGTACTGTGGGTTGTCACCTAAATAGTTATTCACAATGAATAATGTACCTACAGAGTACTTACTCGGTTAATTATTGATTCATTCAATAGTTTTTAATAATTCTATCGAATACTCGATTGTGTCTTGTTTGATTTCGAGCTACAAAGAATGAGATTATAAACCTTTGACATGATTCCTAGAATATCCAGTGAACAGTGTATCGGAAACGATCCTTCGTTTCTATCAGTGAGTGAGTGAAGTAAAACGTGAAAATGATATATTGTATCCATAATATCACATCTTTTTCTCCAAGTTCCATTTTTTTTATGGGTTTTTCGTATACTGTCCGTTGTCGTCGACTGATAAGTTGATAAGGAACATCCTACCGACTGCGCCAAATAATTAATGATGACACGAAAAACCGCTTGAATTTATGCTTTATATTCTAATTTCCTCTTTTTGAACTAATCAGGGTATTCGATACATATCACCAAATGATTATGATTGAACCTCCGTAAGAACATTACTCTTGATGGACATCTTTTTCATTTTGTTTTTATTTCTTGTCATTGAGAACACTATTTTTTATGGAACTCTTTTTTTTATTTTGTTTCATTCTTCGTCATTGAGATTTTTGTTTGATTTGTACGAAGGTCGAAATTCAAAGAGATTTCTGAGGCCTACGTGAAATTGGCGCATTTTTTGAGGGATCGTGCAGAAGACGATGACGAGGTGCAAGGCGATATGATACTTTTCGTATTGCGAGCGATGAAGATGAACAATTCGGAGGCGAGACAGCTGTTTCCTTGCGTTTTGAAACAAAGTGAAATAGGTGGCAAATACAAAGATATGTTCGTGGAAGAAGTGAGTGAAATCATTCATTACTTATACACAATATACATTGTGAATATTCCTTGTTTTAACTTATAGACGGACAAAATTCCTACTTGGATGTTTCTGGGATGGATACCGCAACTGTTGTCGAGTGTAGACTCTTCTAAAATATCAGCAGTTTCCAAAATGATTATGAGAATTGCTGAAACTTATCCGCAATCTATTATGTATCCATATAGGCTCAGCAGAATGAACTACGACTTCAGTAATGCAAGTGTCAAGCTCTTAACAAACAGGTAGATTCAATAATCAATATCTTGGGCTACTGTAATAAAATGCGACATTTTTTCACACCTACCGTATTTGTAGATTGGATGATCTTCTCCTGAAGGATGAAATGATCAACAAGTTTCTGCAAGCGCTATCTTTCGTTAGTGTACCAGTTGTTAGTTTGAGATATTATATCTCCAAGATGATGATGACCGATAACCTTGCCGCTGCCAAAACCGTACAGGAATCTGTGAAAAAGGATTTCTTCAGTCAAAAACACGGTTCGAACACCGAAAGTATGCATGGCAATATGTACAAACAGATCGAACCGTTCAATAGAGAATTTTCGAAAACTTTGGGTGAGCATGAATCCAGTTATACTTAGTGTGATTTACAGGGTCCCATTGTTTCAATAGGAACAGTATTGCTATTTCCTCAACGGTAAGAGATATAATGTTGATTAGATCAGACAAAAGTTGTGTAATTTGAACTCAATATGGCGTTTCGCAATTTCGAGAAATGTCAGCCGTTCTTGAAATATTTTGAAAAAACCGAAAATCACTGATTTCATTGTAATTTTATTTTCTTGGTCAATATTATACTTACCCCACTTATCAATCCAAGATTAGGACTGGAAACCTCATCCAAAAACTCCTTAAATGTCGATCTGTACTATAAACCTCCCGATAATTTAAAAAACCAAAATACCACCAAATTTAAAACTCCAATCAAACAGAAGTTACTGAGGTTCAATTTTTATTCTATAAGAGAATACCAATGTGCCGAAGTTACTGATTAACACGGAATACCGACCTTCCCAGTGATACAGTATCTCTTAATTTTATCGACCGTTAAAAGCTTGCTTCTTAAGTATGTTTTTCTACAAACGTCAGTAAAAGTATAATTTTTGACGCATGCTGTCAGTGTCTAAAATGTCAGTTTATGACACTGGTGTTGAAAGTAAATCACTTTTAGCGCTAGTGCTAAAAGTGATTTATTTTTGTGAGAAAATATGTAAACATAATTCAAAATGAAGTGTTTATTCAATTAAAAGTACAATTATCGAAACTACAATTATAATACGAAACTCCATGGCCAGTCTCATTGGTAGATGTGACAGAATTTATTTTCGTGAAGCTTGTACCAGGGCAGAGAGCAATATTATCTGCCGAAGTTTTCGACAAAATTTGATATGCAATGTTGACAATTTTTGACAATTCAATCTTTATTGCAATCTCTGCTATAAACATTACATTGCATCTCATATAAATATAAATATAATCATTAACATTTACAATGGAATAACATGAATAATCAGACAAATTCATATCTGGTATGAGATTATTCATGCGTTATCAAATGAAACAAAAAGCTCATGAATAGTTCATTATGACATGTTGAAATAAATTAGTCAATGAGAAATCATTCACTCAGGTTTGATTTTCTCTTTGCAAGAGGATATGTTTCTTGACTTTGATTTTGAATTGGGTGATATTTGTGCAACTTTTGATATCATCAGGTAATTTAGCGAGTCTTCTATATAACCCTCTGCTACTGTACTGGACTTCCATCCACCATATCTTTTAATAGTAGTAAGACTAGCACCAGAGTCCGCCAACAAACTAGCGCTGAGGAACGTCGGAAACAATGTCCAGTATATAGATGGGAATCAGGCAAATTAAGAAATTCGGCAATTTTGGCATGTTGATTCCAACTGGAGTCCTGGCACACTTATTTTTGATGCATTTTATAAAAACTCTAGAATGATTAATATCCACTGGACGAAGGGCTATGTACTTTTTGTAGTAGTTCATATACAATGTACAACTTACAACAAAGGTGCGTTGCACATTAGTTTTTGTGTCTGGTATATGCACAACTAGTGAAGTTCCGGAATCCTCGATATTATTTAATGTCAAATCGCACAGTTCTTCTCGACGACAGGCTCAAAAAACACCAAAAATTGCAGCAACTTTCTGCATTAGATATATTTCATCTAGGGCTTCTGCGAGAAATCTGTCGATTTGTTCTCTTGTCAATACTTTTGACTTTTTCGGTCGATATCCTACACCCTTTCGTTTCAAAGAAGCCACAAGCTTGTGATATCTGCTTATATCATGATCATTTATGTTCATCATCGACTTTAACATAGAGTAATTCGACCAAAGCGTTGACGATTTCCATATTTTGGACTTTTCTTCAAAGTATGCAAGAAGCACTTTTTCACTGGCCTCCTTTTCACTGACATTTTTCTGATCACACCATTTCAAGAAACGTTCGTATGAAATCGCGTACTGTCGCTTCGACTTATTAGGCAATAATTCAAAAACAGCTTTATTGGCAGCTTCTTCAATTTGCGGCGGAAGGAATTCATTTTCTTGGGAACTTTCCATCGAGGAACGAATAAGCGAGAAAGAATAATTCGTGAGTTATTGACGTTAGTTGTCAAGAAAGATAAATCAACAAATTCAGTTTTTGTTCACCTTGGTAACTTGTTTCATGAATAGATTAGATTGAATAGGATTCAAAACTGATAATCTCGAGGCTGTTATTTAATCAATTAATAAGTCATGTAAAATAGTTATGCGTTAATTTTGACTTTTAATGGTGTTTGTAGAGAAAATAGTGTATGATATATGTGCTAAAAGTGTTTTTTCTTTTGTTCGAAGGGATGGAACTTCCCTTCTCACAAAATAAAATGTCACTTTTAGCACTTATACCATAAATAACTATTATGTTTGTCTCAACTTGTTTTATTTTTGTTAGTATTATTTGTTTGTGTTTTACGAGTTACTGCTGACGTGTGTAATTGAAAGTATTTCAAATCACAAAATATATATCTATATATCTATAGGGGAGGTTTTGGAATTTTGTGAAAGCATGCCAAAGAAGAGGAAACGGCTGATATTTTTCAAAATAGCAAAAAGTGATACAAAAGAGGTTCGAATTACGCAACTTTTGTCTAATCTAAACAACTTTCTATTTCTCACCGTTTAGGAAATAGCAATACTGTCCCTCGAAATCCGAAAACAGTTCTCAACCATTGTCGATTCTAATGCAAAAGCTGTCTGCTCATTGATCCTAAATCTGTCTGCCTTTTGTTTGCCAATTGATGTTTATGGTCTATATTGAGACATAACTAAGGGTCATCAGAATAAATCTCAATGTCTTCGTATTTGCCGAAACGCTTTATGATATCGAGAAGAAAACGATTCTTCTTATGATAATACAACACCCTTTATCTCAGAAATGATAGAATGTTGATCTATTAGATATCTCCCTCATATTATTTCTACTTGTATCGCAATCATCACATTCACACACAAATTTGGAACCAAAAATTCGCATTAGCGGACAAGAATTTATTCACTCACAATTGCCAATCGGCGAGTGGAATAATTTCTTGATGACGTCAAATTTAATTTTAGGTACTTCTCTTGCCAAAATGAAAGAAAACTTGAAACATTTTGATGGACAGTTGAGCGCCATCCTATCGAACAAGAAAACGAAATATTCGCAGCTGCTGAAAGAATACTGCCCGTGGCTGGCTAATTTTTCAGCTGACAAACAGAACATGGAACTGGAGATTCCGGGACAGTATGACGGCAGAAAGATGCCCCTAACCCAACATCATGTGAAAATATCGGGATTTTGTCCAACTGTATGTATTCATCTAATAATTTGATGGTATATTGGTTAGAATCTCAAACTAAACTACGCAACAATAATTTCGTCGCACCCCAAAATTTTGCCTCTGTTGAAATATGAATAACTTTTTTCTACTTTGAACGATTTGAATTCGGATCACACTGTTCGCTAGCCCAGTCCTTCAGCAATAATCTCGTAATTCTTCAAAACATAGGGTTCTCCACATAAAATCGCTACAGGGTGTTACCTGAAACTGTGCAAAATTTCGGAAATTTCAAAAGTATCTCAAATAAAGAAAAACTGTTTTCTTGACTTTGACAGTAGAGGCATGTGGATGATCTCATTATCTTGGGACAGTTCTCGAATTGTCTCCTTATCTTATTTACAGAGTGATCTCAATAAATTAACGGTTTGGTTTTGCTGTCATAACTTTTTTCCTCGTCAACCGATTTTTGAAATCTCAGGCTCATTTTGAAGCTCCAACTTCAGATAAAGAGATATGAACATCAGAATTGACTCAAGATGAATATTAAACATGTGTCTCACTTCTAATGGAAGCACCCCTGTATCTTCCGTAATTGTTGAGTTAGGATTCTAAAATTTGCTAGAGCGGTAGATAAACTGAAAATACACACTATGACGAAGTGGAGTCGTCTCCAGTGATAAACACTGCTCGCCTACAGCCATGGAACCTGTGTTGGATTATTATTATTAAGTAGAGCATTCATCATGGTACCGTTTCGAAATATTCCAGCGCAGCTTTCCGTAAGTTCTAGTAGTTATCTTTATCATCGAAGTATTGTTTATATAAATACAATTAATGAGGTTGTACATGTAAGGTAGTTTTTTGTGTGACTGTCGATTTGGCAACGGTTCCACATAGGTCTTCCGAATGTGATGTCTTCTCCACAAAGGATTTTTTAAAAATTATTTACTCTGAGATGAAAACACCCCTTTTCTCATGATTTGCCAATTGTATTCCTTCCAAAAGGTGTGACCATCGTTACATCGAAGTACTGTATCAAATTTGAATTATATATCTTATTGAATACTAGAGTTATTTATGCCGATGTATGAAAAACTTACCGGCATACAGGATTTCCATTGCATTCAAACTATATTTCCCACAACCAGTCGACCAGCACAAAATTCAACAGATATATGCCATGGTTGATCAACTATTCAACTATACCACTGTTCTACTGTTCATGTGCAGTGTTGCCGTCTCAGCAATTTTGTCTCTGAATCTAGCGTTTTGAGATATTTGAACTCGATTTGCGAGGTGTCAGAAGTCTATCGTGTTTCACATATGAAAATATTTGGATGATATGAATCTGTGACGGGAATTACATTTGCATATAACTAAAATGGGATGATTGAGAATTTCGCCAAATCACGAAAAAAAATCGCTCATTGGCGACATTTCTTTCACAGCAACTGGCAACACTGTTTAAGTGTCAGAGTGTCAGATGTTAGTTGGATCGTGTATAAATACCTAATTTCTTGCGAATTCTAAAGTGTTAACGATCACAAGTGAAGAAGTTTATCGTCCTCAATAAAACATTTGGAAAAATCCCTGTGAAACGGGGCAATCCCAAACTTTTCGAAAATTATCACATATTCAGATATCACCCTGTAGGTCTGTTGAATTGAGCGTGGACTGTAATATTTTTATTGTCGTTTGATTGGCAGAAAATAACGTGACTTACCCAACTTTAGTTTCTTCGGTGTCGCTCCACAGGTAGGATCTTCTTGTTTTCACGAATTTTGTCACTTATCGCATTTTTAGAGGTTCTATTGAAGCACCTTTTCTTATTACCGGCAAAGGTATTCGGTACCTATAGGTTTTTCTATAGTTTTTCGTTGTGTGTCGCGTAGCGTCTCATTAATTAAATCGCTCGCGCGATGCGCACATACACCTCACGTTTTAGTACAGGTGTCAGCCGAAAAGAGGGCAGCAGCATCCAGAGCCACTATTAAATTCTGCCTTTCAATAAGCGCGAAATAATCAATTCAAAAGTGTCGCTACCCACTCAAGCGTTCACCTTATTTAATTCAATGTAAATTAATGCAAATCTTAACTCATATCACTAATAATTATTAAAGAAAATAAATAGTTATACTAAACCATGTAATGAAACTAAACATGCCCCCCACCAAAATACCCCTGTATTTTATTTAACTACGAACTAGAGATTAGGCAATGGACAAATTTTAACGAGCGGTCTCTGAAAAACTCCTTGAGCTGTCCTGACAGTGACTACTCGCACAACCCCGTCCTTGCCAGGATGTGTTGCTATTATACGACCAAGCCTCCACTTAGAGGGAGGAGCTTGTTCATCTTTTATCAATATGAGTGTACCAATCTTGACTTCTTCATTGTTTTTCCACCATTTAGAACGACTATTTAAAGTATGAAGATACTCCATGTGCCATCTTTTCCAGAAACTCTGATGGAGTTTCTGAATAAGTTGCCATCTGGATAGACGATTGTGAGGTATATCAGTGATTTCTCTGTCTGGGAGACAAGAAATTGGTTCTAAGGTTAGGAAATGGCCTGGAGTGAGTGGCGAAAGGTCGTTTGGATCCGAACTGATAGCTGAAAGGGGCCTAGAATTTAGCAATGCCTCAATTTGAGTAAACAAAGTATATAACTCTTCGTAGGTCAGGAGCTGTTCTCCAATGACTCGATACAAATGGGTTTTGACGGATTTCACTCCAGCTTCCCATAGTCCTCCGAAGTGTGGACTACTAGGAGCATTGAATGACCATTCTATCTTTTCCACAACAGCCGCATTTTTCATGATTTCTGCTAAGTATTTACCAGCCGCTTTAAAATTAGATCCACAATCACTATGGATTTTTGTACATCTTCCTCTTCTCGATATAAAACGTCTTAAAGCAGCCAAGAAAGATTCAGTGGACAAGTCGGAACACAATTCTAAGTGTATAGCCTTCGTTGCATAGCACACAAAGACGCAAAGATAGGATTTCTGTGATTTGCAACCACGATATCTTCCAAGGGAAATGCGGAATGGCCCACAGAAATCGATACCTACTACGGAGAATGCTTTAAGTTCTGATATCCTAGTGGTTGGGAGATTACCCATCTGAGGTTGAAGAGGTCTTGGATTAGTACGGAAACATTTGTAACATTTAGAAATAACCGAGCGAATAGCTCTTTTGGGACTCAAAATCCAATATTTTTGTGCTAGAAGAAAGTGTAGAGTTTGTAGCCCCGGATGCAAACTTTCACGATGCGTATCTTCAATCAAAAGCTCAGTTAAGCGGCATTTCCTATAGAATAAAATAGGATGCTTCTGATCGAAGCTAAGATGTGAGTATTCAAGTCTACCCCCCACCCTGACAATGCCTTCTTTATCAATGAAAAGTGCGAGTTTTTGCAAATATTTTGGGAGAATCTTACCATTGGTTAATCTATTAATTTCGTCAGCAAAATGAATCTTTTGGACGTATTTGATCAGCAGGTGCATAGCTCTAGTCAACTCATTCATAGTCAAGGGTCCTGTAGTCATTTTGTCAGGAAATCGCAGATTGAATCCAAATCTCATACAACGAGCAAGAATTCTTTTTATTTTAGACAGGGAAGAATATTTGTTCAAGAGATCAGAAAAGAAGGAATCATCATAAGCTGTTAATAGAACGTTTCTTTTTTGTTCGATGAAGACGTCATCAAGTTTTTCTAGTTTCTTGAAACTAGGCCAGTCAGAAAATGGTAAACATAACCACGGGGGTCCGTTCCACCATAGATAATTATTAATGAGGTCTAAAGGTAATTCTCCTCTAGAACCAGGATCGGCAGGGTTTTCTTTCGATATTATATGGTACCAACAGGATGGTGAAATATTATTCTGAATATGAGATACCCTGTTGGCTATGAAAGTTGTCCATTTTTGGGGAGGTGACTTGATCCAATTAAGGGCTATCATTGAATCAGTCCAAGCAAATATTTTTCCAATTTGAAGTTTTTTTGAATATATTTCAATTACAGAAGCTATCAAATCTGACAGAAGCACTGCAGCGCAAAGTTCCAAGCGAGGCAAAGACAATTTTTGAAGAGGTGCGACCTTGGATTTACCGCATATGAAAAATACTTTATATGTATTGTGATAGCAAGAACGAAAATATATGACGGCTGCATAACCCTTTTCGGAACTATCACAGAACCCAAAAATATCTAGAGGTTGTGATGCAGAAAGTGACAAGTGTCGTGGAATTCGCAAACTAGCTAAAAGAGGAAGTTCCCTTTTATAGCGAGACCATAATTTCAAAATATTTGTAGGCGGTAATGCGTCCCATTCAAGTCCAAGGCTCCATAAAGTCTGGATTAAGTGTTTTGCAAAAAATGTAAGAGGTGTAAGAAATCCAAGCGGATCAAAGATGCGTGCCACTTCAGATAAGATAGTTATTTTTGTACAAGGTTTGTCAATTACATCCACCTGAAAGGAAAAACAATCCAAAGCAGGATACCACCGAAGCCCTAAAATTTTTAAACAGGTATTGGAATCCTCAGCGTCAAACGGCATTGAAGAATGTAACCGGTCTGTTTCTGAAATATTGTTCAAAAGAGCAGGTTCATTTGTAGCCCATTTCCTGAGTTCAAACCCACCCAACTTTAATAAAGCAATCAAATCATTTTGTAGAGACAAAGCCGTATCGAAGGTATCACATCCTGTGATCAAATCGTCAACGTAAATGTCCTTCAGAATAACCTCTGCAGCTGTAGGAAATCTAGAAGCTTCATCAGCAGCCAATTGTCGTAAACTACGAATTGCAAGATAAGGTGATGAGCTGATGCCAAAGGTCACCCTTGAAAGACGGTAATCCTGAACGGGTTCATTTTGGGAAAAACGCCAAAGTAATCTTTGATAATCCCTATGACTGGGATGAACTAAAACTTGAAGAAACATTTGTTTTATATCTGCAGTAAGTACGAAAGCATGAAGTCGAAAATTAAGTAAAACTTGAAAAAGATTAGTCTGCAACTTTGGACCTGCAAATAGAGTGTCATTGAGCGAAAGATTTTGAGTGGATCTGCAGCTACCATCAAAGACAACTCTAAGTTTTGTGGTGTGACTTTCAGGGCGAATAACGCAGTGATGTGGTAAATAAAATGATTTAGCTGGGGAACTACCTTTAACCTTCTCCATGTATCCAAGTTGTATATATTCCCTCATGAATTCTGAGTAAGTTTTGTAAAGATCACAATTACTAATTAGTCGTCTTTCTAATGAATGAAATCTTCGTAGAGCTATAGCACGGGAGCCTAGGAATTCTGGTTCTTTAAGTATGAAAGGTAACGGCACTACATATCTACCTGATGAATCGCGATAATGTTGTTTAACAAAAATCTGCTCACAAGCTTCCTCGTCGGCTGAAAAATTCACTGAAGTAGATACGTTTTCTACTTCCCAAAATCTTTTCAAAGTGTCATCTAAATAAGTTTCGGAATCTATAGACGCGAAATAGGAACTCAAAGATGGTGCTGGCTGATAATTAGCTCTGCCTAATAATATCCACCCTAGTTTAGTTTCTAATCCAGTGGGCTCATCGGTGGCCCCTGTATATCTACCATTTTTCAAGATTTGAGCGAAAACGTCTGCGCCTAAGAGCATATCAATTGGTCGAGATATATTGAAATCGCGGTCAGCCAATGGTAAGTCTAAAATTTGTTTCCAATTTTCAACGTTTAAATTGAAACTAGGCATGTTTGCGCATATTTTCGGTAATATGATTATATCGAGAGTTAATGAAAATGATTCATCAAATTGCGAACGAATTGTACACGTGGCACCTTTTGATATTTTGGATGATGAATTACCAATACCATTGAGTGGCACATTGGTACTGAAACTATCGATTCCTAGCTTCAAAAAACAGCTTTCTGTCATTATATTTGCTTGACTCCCATTATCAATTAAAACTCTTACAGGACAGTTATCCCCTCGATTATTCACAACGTCTATGATAGCTGTAGACAAGAGGACAGTTTGATTTTTTAAAAAGCTCGAATTGCATCCAATAGATCCTACATTTGCAGATGCGCCAACTACATTTTCTGTGGCAACATTAGCACGATTAGTGGAATTAGTGTTATTTCTAGCGTTATATTGGGGAACAACAGATTCATTTCTATTAATATGTAGGCTAGTATGATGTTTTTTACCGCAAGATCTGCAGGACGAGAATGAACGGCAATTTATGATAGAATGACGAGATGATAAGCAATTCAGGCAGAGTCGATTTCGTTTAACAAAATCGTATCTGTCGCTTTGAGTTTTTTGTAAGAAATTTGGACATCTATGTAGAGCGTGATCTTGTTTACAAATAATGCAAGAAATATTACTACATTGTGCTTCAGTACTATTATCGCGAGTAACATTTGCCACCAAAAGGTTAGAGGCATTGCGGGTTATTTGATTTTTTTTTGGAATGATCTTCAAATTGCGTTTATCATCAATAGGTGCGCTAATGGCGGCAGAGTTCATTGCAGAACATTGTTTGTTCAGGAACTCCGTCAATTCTTTAAAACAAGGAACATCTTCATTAGGGTTACCTACTTTTCTCTGAAGTTCGTATCGAGTTACGGTTGCATTATCTATTTTTCTAACTAGAGTTTGAAATAAAATGAAATCCCATGCATCTATGTCAAATTGTAAGTTTCTCAAAGCCTGAATATTTTCATTGAATACATCTAATAGCTGTCTCAGGGCTTGTGGTGAATCGTTAGAAAGTTTGGGATAGTCGTGGATTTCATCCCAATGAGCTATAGCCAATAATCTTTTATTCTGATATCTTTTTACTAAAGTGTCATAAGCGACAGTATAATTCGCATCCGTAGTAGGTAAGGATTTTACCAAAGTCAATGGCTCCCCTTCCAACAAAGAAATCAAGTATTGAAACTTTTCAGAGTTAGAAAGTGACTGATTATTGTCAACTGTATTTTTGTATAGATCATAGAAGGTGGGCCATTCCTTTGGAGAACCTCTGAAAGTCGGTAATTTTATTTTTGGCAATTTTACACTATTTGAACCTGGTTCACTTGAGGCTGAACGCCCGGTATTATTCAAATCTTGTCGTGTATTGAAAATTTCATTAAAAATTGTTTTAATGTTATAAAGCTTATCGTCAAATGATTTTCTAATGAACTTTTCTGGTTCTAAATTTGGTTCTTCAGTGGTGGAATGCATTAGCATAATGATTTCCGTGTGATGTTTTTCAAATTGCCTTTGTATTTGCTCCAAGCCTTCAAAACGACATTTGAAATGAACAAAATAAGTACTATCCGTTTGTGCATGTACGGCAATTTCATGTAAGTCATCCAATCGATCGATATCTGTTTGGCGCGAAGCTCGCATTTGTCGAAGCTTAGCCATCTTACTTGAAGAAAAAAAATTTTATTGAAAATTGAAATTCACACTCGATACGAAAACAATCAAAGGAGAAGCAATAGATCGGTGAGAAAACCTTAGCGAAAAGTCAAGACTGGATTACACCTACGAATAAATCGATTGTTTACAAATAAACAGCTGTTTAGGGTCAATAAACTGTGCTCGGATATGTTGATGAAAAATATAGTATAGAACAGGTAGCTAGAAGTCGAGCTTATCGTATTCACCTGAAAAACAATTAGCGAGAAAAAAAGTCAAGCGCGTTCCACCGGTTCACAAAAAATTGTAGGACGATGGCCACTATTTTTAATTGCCGGCGTAGCTCTAGATATTTGGAATATGATGAAAACGTTAAATGCAATAATTGACGTTGATTATGAAAACACCTTGGAAAACACAAAAAATATATTATATCTCACTGAAATAATACCTATCTATTGAAATGCGGTTTGATCTAAATTGATAGAGTGTGAAAAGCTATTAGGTGAATTATTCCAGGAAATATATTGAATGGTAGGCACTAAAGCGAGTATCGACACTATAAATCCGGCGATCTGAAGGACCAAATGTTTAATTGAGCGTGGACTGTGATATTTTTATTGTCGTTTGATTGGCAGAAAATAACGTGACTTACCCAACTTTAGTTTCTTCGGTGTCGCTCCACAGGTAGGATCTTCTTGTTTTCACGAATTTTGTCACTTATCGCATTTTTAGAGGTTCTATTGAAGCACCTTTTCTTATTACCGGCAAAGGTATTCGGTACCTATAGGTTTTTCTATAGTTTTTCGTTGTGTGTCGCGTAGCGTCTCATTAATTAAATCGCTCGCGCGATGCGCACATACACCTCACGTTTTAGTACAGGTGTCAGCCGAAAAGAGGGCAGCAGCATCCAGAGCCACTATTAAACTCTGCCTTTCAATAAGCGCGAAATAATCAATTCAAAAGTGTCGCTACCCACTCAAGCGTTCACCTTATTTAATTCAATGTAAATTAATGCAAATCTTAACTCATATCACTAATAATTATTAAAGAAAATAAATAGTTATACTAAACCATGTAATGAAACTAAACAAGGTCATCATGTCGGCAACGTGAAATAACGAAAAAGTTCTGAAGTTGTACTCGATGAAATGAGCTATCATAATCGTGAAAGAGTTTGAAAATTGGTAAAGTTATAACGGTTCGAAAATGAGAGAAATTATTACTTGTCTCACTTCACTTCACTTCAATTCTGAATTGTTCACCTTCACAAGTGAAGAAGTTCAAATTTGAAATTTGTTGCATTTATAGGTTAGCGTGATGAAATCACTGCGGAAACCCATAAAAGTAACAATGTTGGGTGCGGATACCAAAGAATACCCTTTCCTAGTGAAATTCGGTGAGGACATAAGACAAGACCAAAGGATAGAGCAGCTCTTCGGTCTCATGAACGACATTTTCAGAAGCGATGCGACATGTTCCAATAACGGGTTGGATATTTTAACTTATCAGGTGAGTGTTATTTGCTAATAATTCTAACTGATTCGATATTTTATGTTTCTAGTCGAATTAATATATTTTCTGTTTGTTTAATCAATAACATTTTCAGCTTTGTTTTTATCTATACTAATATTATAAAGAAGAAAGATTTGTTTGTTTGTTTGTATGTATTGAATAGGCTCCGAAACTACTGGATCGATTTGGCTGAAAATTGATTGGGAGGTTGCTTAGAACCAGAAGAAGGTTATAGGATACTTTTTATCCCGGTATCATTGGGAAATTTAAGATGGCGGATCTAATATATCGGACGAGTTTTGTAATTATGGTCCGATTCTATTCAAAATTGGTATCTGGGGGTTTTCGGGGTCGGAGATTATGATTCTTTCGTTAGAATTTGAAGATTCGGGCGGAATTTGAAAACTCAAGATGGCGGAACCAATATGGTGGACGAGTTTTGTAATTATAATCCGATACTTTTCAAAATTGGTACCTAGGGGTTTTCGTGATCGGGGATTATGATTCATTAGTCAAAATTAAGGAATTCAAGATGACGGATCCAAAATGGCGGATTTCGTAATTATGATCTGATTTCATTCAAATTTGGTATCTGGTAGTTCTTGGTGTCGGAGATTATGATTCTTTCGTCAAAATTAGGAAATTCAAGATGGCGGACCCAATATGGCAGACGAGTATTGTAATTATGATCCGAAAATTGTTATCTGGGTGTCGGAGATTATGATTCTTTTGTCAAAATTTGGAAATTTGGAAATTCAAGACGGTGGAATCAATATACCGGACGATTTTTGTAATTATATACAGATTCTATTCAAATTTTGTGAGTGGGCGTTTTCGGGATCAAAAATTATGATTCCTTCGTCAAAATTAGGGAATTCAAGATGGTAGATCCAATATCGAGGACGAGTTTTATAATTATGTTCCGATTCTATTCAACATTTTCATCTGGGGTTTTAGGAGTCGAATATTATTATTCTTTCGTCAAAATTGAGAAATTCAAGTGAATTAAGAAGAAGTTGAAATAAATGGTAGTTTGAAAATCTAAAGAAACACGCTGTTATAGATAGCGAAACTGAATAGAAGTAGAAAATAAAATAATAATAGTGCCCTGATGAATATTGAACTGAAAAAATATATTATAGAAATAATGTATATAGCAAAACAACGTTTGTGAGGTCTGCTAGTATTGAATAAATACTCACATCATACCAGCAATGGTGATTACTTCATTTTTATATCAAAATTTTCCGAATACGGTAACAAAGGTGACAGGATCAAGTTTTACCAAGGGTCTTTATGAAATCTGTTTTGAAACCTCTGAAATCTCTTCAAAATATATCCATAAAATGAATTTATAAACTACCATTTCTGGAATCAACGTCTAGACTATAGAAACCAAGAGATCTACTAGATATTGACTCTCTCTTCAAAATGAAAGTATGCATTTTCATTCATTTCACTAAAAATAAGAAAAAGCACTGGAATCTTACTTTCAATATCAATTCTGATACCCATGAGCATCACACCAGACAAAGTAAACATTTGAAAACTGTCAAAATAAAAACCCAATTCGGGAAAAAATCATTGTATTTTTGTGGAATAAATATTTATAATAGTCTACCCAACAGAATTTAAGTGTGAACTGAAGAAATATATTTTATCAATTTAACTCTCTCCTTGTATAAATTAATTCTGATTGAACTGTTCATCTTTCATTGTATTGCATATTTGATTTCATTTTGTTTCCCTCTATAAACATGATATGTTAGGATCAATAAATGTTATTATTATTATTATTATTACTTATAATTTTAACTAGAAATTCTAACCACAAATAATTAATGCTTGAAACTACTCGGTACAACTCGCAAATCGTGTAACTAGGTCTCTACGATGTGTCATCTTCCAAATTCATACAAAATCTCATTACAATGTTTGCCAGTAGTTTCGACATAATCGTATAAACTGTGTATTGAAATTGTCTTCTCAAAACCATACCCCGAAAAAAAAAAGAGTATGCCACTGGATTCATTCTACGCGAATATATCTAAACGTAGTTCTTAGCGAAACATTATTTATTATTTTCGTATGTATAGAAGAGGACCAAAAAGTAATAAATTTTCGTAATCTCCTGTATCTTATTAACCGAAACAGTTATGCAAAATTTAATTGGGTTTTCTTAAGTTTTACAAAAACAAGAGGACGGGAGCGTGATCACCGCAAAGCTCTGACCAATAATATCCGAGAAACCAGCTGGCAGTCTATATAATCTCTTGTAATGAAAACATCAAAATATTAAAAGATCAAAGCAGGAGCAAGAAACAACCGGGTTTTCAACAATGATTGAACACCACGTGACCAAAATGTGTTTGCAACCAACACTGCACAGTTGGTGAATAAATAACGGGGAATTAACAGCTTCTACAAAAATAAAACATAGGCATATTAAACAAAGTCGAAGCATGGTTGTAATTTCACTGAAAATTTAAACAAAGTTGATTCCACAGTTTCATAAAATATTTCACAAACCAAAATGATTTTTCTACCTTAACATAAAGCACCATGACGGATTCCCACGGTGATTGCGATAACGCAAATGTTGCAATATATTGAAAAATCAAAATTATAGGTAGGACAAAAGTTAAATTCAACTAAACCTACTCACATATTATAGATATATATTATAGAATTCAATAAACAGATTCATGTTGAAGTCGAAATTATAAAAAAAAATTCATCTCAAGACAACAATCTCAATCAAAATGCTCTCCATATTCTAGATTTGAATGAAACACGATCATATTGGATACAACAGAATTATAAAAAACATCTCATCTCTAACACACACACAATCATGTTGAATTTTTAATCTATAAAAAATATCAGCTCAGACAATATTCATAACAGATGTTGAAAATGATCTATATATAAGCTTAACATGTCCATTTACTCAAGTCTGAATCTTCCTACCGGTCTGACCGATGTATTGTGTGCATTGCTATTGGGTTCAGAACAAAGAATTTCCATTTGCACCCTAATTTGAAAGGGGTAAAACCTTATTCTTTCGTATTTTTTTCTATATGAACCACTTCACTGCACTTTGGTTTGATATGTATACTTCTACGGTAGGTTTATTTGTAGGTTATCCCGTTGACCTCAAGTTTGGGAATCATACAATGGATCAATGATACTGAACCGTTGAGCGAGTTCATGAAAAAGTCGTTAAAAAGTGAAAAGGCTAAGGAGAATTTCGGAAGTAACACACTGGGAGATAAATATTCTCGATGGTTATGCAATGGAAAAGACTTCATACAAATATACGGGAAGAGTGCAGTCAAGTACAATAGGAACAAAGTTGTACCTTTTTATAATAGCCTGGTCAACGAAATACCTTTAGATATCTTGAAGTAAGTATATAACATGGTGTGATTCGATTTACTCCTTCAAATCCCCAATAGGCCCTGAGTTTCCGTGAGATATCGCCTGGTGTGTCCACTCTTCAAATTATTTTCCAGATCTACTCTCGATATAAACAATCAAATTTGAAATCAATTCCTGGGGTTCTCAATATTGACAGTGTCGCTATCATAAAATGTCTCAAATCTATATACTTCTCCTTGATCTATGCTGACCTTGAATATTTAGTTTCTGTAAGGGGATCAACAAAACTATCAATTATGAAGCCTCTCAAAACTCTTCATAATAATATCAAATGTATATACAGAATATATTATTTGAAACCTACTAAGAACCTTTAGATACAGATTCACTATATAAAAAGAATAAGTGATTAAAATGATAGAATCGTTGACATGATTTCAGTTTGGGGTACAGCTAGATTATCAATTATGAAGCCAAACAAAATCCTTCAGAACAAAGTTATTAAATGTATATACAAACTAGATTACTTGGAACCAACAAGAAATCTTTATAAACCTAGGCAATTGTTAGATATTGACTCCATTTACAAATTCAAAATATTAAATTCCATCCATTCCGTCAAATATATATAAACATTCAAATATGGGTAAAAGATCTATTTTATAAAATGGAACAATTCTCTATAATGAATTACCTGGCAGACTGAAGAGAAAATTAAGTGTTGAGAAATTCAAAACAGAACTGAAAAAAAAATTATGTCTTTGAATCTCTTATATCATCCTGAATCAATTCAAGAACTCATATTCAACAGTCTCTAGAAGAAACAACATTATATGTACTATGTATATGATTTGAAAAATATGATCAGATTATCAATTTTGTTTTTGTTTTTAGTTGCTGTTTCATAATTTTCCCTGCTATAAACATGTTTCTTGGGAATAATAATGATTATTATTATTCCAGGATGATGTCCGAATTCGCGTCTATTACCTCGACGATGTTAACAATTCTACACTTTTTTGCCATATTTATACATTATTGTTTCATTTTTCGCCATTTTATTCGTTTTCATTTGTCAACCAACTTGATCAATCTCATTTGATTTTTCTGCTCCCTGAAAATTTGCGGAGCAAATAAATCCTGCTTCAAATGGTCTATGGCAACTTGCTCCTGTCGAACGAACACTCAATCATCAATTTCGCGGAATAAACGAACATCAAATATTGCTCACATCACTTTTTTACCAGAGTAAGCATGACAAACGAACAGGCCTTATATGTATTTGTACTAGCGTTTTGTATTCATTTTCTGAATATTCACCTGGTTCTGTCAAACAGTTTCCGAAAGGTCGGACGGACACATACGTTCTAGCTTTATTACCTTGATATAAGATAGCATACGTTATGAGCCAAGAACCGAACAATCAGCATGTGAACGCGCCTCAACTTTGGCAACATTTTTCATAAATGCTTTATCGCCATGGATTTCTATAAAATGACTGCCAAGTTGATTGAGAAAAGAGTAGCAACTGTAACCTAACTTATGCTTCAAGGACATCTTTCCGTATGCTGAGCATCGACACCGAGAACTACATAGCGATGCGCGCCAACTTTATCAAGACTCACGCGACGATGTGCGTCGGCCAATGGCTGTTGGGCATCGGTGACCGGCATTTGAACAACTCGCTGGTGTGTCTCGGTAGCGGCAAGTTGCTCGGCATCGATTTCGGGCACGCTTTCGGCACCGCCACACAGATTCTGCCTGTGCCCGAGCTGCTGCCTTTCAGACTGACTCCGCATTTGGTGAGTACTTTATGGAATCAAAACATGATCCTATGGGATATTGAGACTAGCGTAGTATTTTAGACGGAGCCTTATGTGTGCACATGTTCGTGAAAAATGTATGTTAATATTTGTTGTATACATTACATTTTATTCATTATTATATTATTTTAACTACATACTCAGCTTTGTCTACAAGGATTTCATTATTAAGTGACAATAAAGCATATTTCGATTTGATTTGTTAAATGTGTGATAAATTGGCATTCATCATACAGGACGTGGAAAGAAATTCTGATGAGGATATGATATCCGACATGAATTCATATAACCTGTTTGTGAGAGATATAATTCCCATATCACTGATACGAATGATTTTTTTGGAAGTTCCAAGCTCATCAAGATCAGAGTTCATACAAGTATACTCCTCCTATACATTTCAATTCTCATTTCAATACTGAACATATCGGTAAGTTATATTTTTATATCATAATGCATCATATTATTCTATTCGATTTGAGAGATGATGTTAATTCTCAATTTCAGAGGATTTTGATTTTTCATGCTCTCTTTTTTTGGATATTCAACAGACGTGGCAAATAGCCAGGAAAGTAGTTGTTTTCTGTTGAATATCCAGAATGATATTATATGCATATCTTTATATGAAGGAGAATACAAATTCTCTACTTCAGAAGATTTTGTTTTCAAATTCTTTTCGTGTGTGTTCAATAGATGTAATTCAATATGCGTGGCATATAGCCAGGACGCGATTTTACTAAATATACTGCACGCTAGCACAAACCACGCCCACCGTAATACGCCATATCTCCAAACATCATCGATATACTCGGAGTCAGCACATCGCACTAAATATACTGTGCTCCAACGCGAGAATTCACTTTTTATGATTTTGACACGAATTCGACTGAAGCTTTCTCGCTGTCAATCTCTTGTATGCAGTAAATTTACCTATATACCCAAACGGTCTACTGTTTAGCGCTGTCGACTCTCAGTCTGAAGGTCCATGGTTCGAATCGCTGTGAACTTGAACTTTTTTTGCAACTTTTTTTTCACCAATGTTTTTTTACCTAATTCTGGTTTTCCTTCTTCAGAAAATATTTGAAGTCAAATAGGTTAGTGCGTTTAGGATAAACAGTCTCATTTTATTCAATTTTGTTGAAGAACTTAACTTTTGAAATATATTATTAATCAATGTGTTTTTACACTCCATTCTGATTTTCCTTCCTCAAAAATATTGCAATCAGGAATATGTTAGTTCGTTAAGGATAAATAGTCTCTGAGTTTTGCCTAAGTAAAGTACTTTGAAGATGAGATATAACGGTGGGCGTGGTATGTGTTAGCGTACAGTATATTTAGTAAAATCGCAGCCAGGACAGTAGTTGTTTTCTGTTGAATAAACCGAGAAAGAATTAATATTTTCATCACATGGAGAATGCGAATTCTCAATGTATTTCTTTATATATATATTTATATCCATTTTTTGTGTTCATAAATACACTCACCAGCAAAAAAAAACCGGCCACCAAAATAATTGGCATTCACCCTGTAACTTTTCCAATCCTTGTCCGATTCTTGGGAAATTTCGATCACATCGTAGATTCATGTTCTGGAATGTTAGCCTGAATATTAGTTTAAGTGAAAAGCTGATGACTTGATCTTTATAAAGGGAAAAATCAAAGTCACTATTTCACCCTTTATTTCTTAACGCCCTGTGGCAAAATTGAGTGGTTGAACTTGGTTTCATCATGCTTCGGATTGAAGTGTGATCCTTTCTCAACACAATAGTTTTTGAATCACGTCAATATCTTATTTTTAAGGAAAGATACAAGTATTTTAAGAATGTATGGCATATTTCAAATTTCATCATTACACGTTTCAATAATAATCAGAACCTACATAAACTCATTGATTAACAACTTGGAGAATTAATATCACATATATCTACCTCATTTCCTTAGCACTTATAGAAAAAAAATCTTAATTACAGAAAAAAAAAACAAAAAGTAGAACTGTATATAAACAATAACGAGTCATCCAACCGCCGTGGCATCGAGTTGATCAAATTTCTAAAGTAGTCTTGAAGAATTGCCTAAAAATCTCCTTGAAGGGCGAATCGTAGCTTTTGAAGAGTCTCTGACATGGCCGAACTAAGGCAAATAAGCCTCTGCAGTTCATTCCCAAGATGCTCTATAAGTAGTTCTGAATTATTGTTGATGAAAATTTGAAAAAGCCATAATTTTCTAAAAGACTTATTATATCTTCTCATAAAAATAATATATTGACTTGAATCTCGAACCATTGTGTTGAGAAGGGACGAAAAAGGATCACACTTCAATTCAAAACATGATGAAGCAGAAGGTTGGAGAATGGTTCTCTATTATTGTTAATAAAAATAAAAAATCGATACTTAAACACCTGTATATTCTCTTGAGAAGTGGTTATCGACGAGAATTCAAAACCATTGTGTTAAGAAGGGATCAGACTTCTATCCAAAACATAATGAAGCTGAGTTTAACCACTCATCTTTGCCACTGGGTGTTTCCCTGTATAATGATCAAGCCATCAGCTTTTCTTAGCACCTTGTATCCAGGCTAACATTTCGAAACATGTATATTTGGTCGTAATTTCACCGAAATCGGACAAGAATTAAAAAAGTTACATGGCGAACAATTTGGCAACACTTTTTGGTGGCCGGTTTTTTTTGCCGATGAGTGTATATCTGAGAATGTTCCTTTTCAATAAGCATATTTTGATTTGATTTGATTATTATCATGATACTTACACAAACATGATACAGCTGAACCTGATGGAACCTCTGAAGGAGCGCGGCCACCTCAGGCACTGCATGATCGCCTCGTTGCGCGCGCTTCGCTCCCGCTCCGCCCCTCTGCTCGCCACAATGCGCGTGTTTGTCGAGGAGCCGTCGCTGGATTGGCTGGAGCACGCACGGCGGTTCGAAGGGGGCGGGGCGGACGAAGTGGAGGGGCGGCGGTGGTATCCCGAGAGCAAGGTGGGGCAGTGCAGAAGGAAGCTGGCCGGGGTCGGGAGCGCAGCGATTCTCGTCGAGGATCTCGTAGCAGGTGAGTTTAAGTTCAGGAACTTTTCGGTCACACTGTATTCAATGGAAGACTTTGCTCCAAGTTGCCAACCTAAAAACGTCTACCAATGTAGAAGCAACTTTATGGAAAATACTGTCTGTAGGTTTATCGAGGAGGTGGTACAGGGTGGGCCAAAAGAAGTCATCCGATGTTGTTTGGCTCTCATTTTCTTCTAAATGAAGAGCTTTGATTCTGTTTTCTGATTATGATTATTTCGTTCAATTGCGGCAGAAAAAACTCGGTTAACATGGCCCTATAGCGCGCACCGTCCACTGTTGTTGTTTGACCAGCGGCGTCGTCGAAAAAATGGCCCGATGACTCCTCCAGAGTGAACAGTGCACCATGCAGTCACTTTGAGCGGGTGTAATGGCTCCTCGTGCATCACTCGTAGATTTTCGGTGACCCAGAAGCGATAGTTCTGCTTGTCCACGTACCCGCTGAGGTGGAAATGAGCCTCGTCGCTCATTATGATTTTGGTATAAAAATCATCCACGAGATTGAGGATGGCTTGGCTTGGATTATTCCTTCGTTCTTAGGGAGTGTATCGCTCCATGACTTGTTCACTTGTATTCTACATCTGTCTAGTTCACAAATGTCGAAACAGATTTGACATTGACCGCCATTTGCCAAAATAAAAGCTACTTCCAGTTAGGGTGATTTATTTTGGCCCACCTAGTATATTCATTATTCCAGATTTTTTGGGATCTCCTCTCCTCGTTTCTATAAAAGAAAAATATTAATATTATTTCAATATACGTGTAGTAAGGACAAATCAGATGATTTGCCCCTAAATATCACTGCGTTTAAAGAATTTTCTCATCAGAAAGCCTAAAAGAAAAATTCACTAGCTTGTCAGTGACTATTTGTATTGAAAAATTTTTGGAGAAGAGAAATAAAGGTATATGAAAAAAAAATTAAATTTTTGTACTTAGCTTTGGACGTTTCGGGAACGAATCTGCTCCCGTTTTCCTTGGTTCACGATCTGTGTTCACGATGCGAAGGTACTGTCGTCGGTTTCAATCAGGCTTGGCTGAGCAGTTTTTTTAAAAATGTGTGATTCATTGTTGTAATCCTGGCAGAACTTCGATGCCCTAGAAGTGGTTCCGATTCCACTATAACCTGTAGGTCCCGCTCTTCTTCACACCGCACAAATCTCGACCTCTGGGAAATTTATTCATTTATTCAATTATTTAGTCATTTACTGAATCAAGAAAAATCTACATTTTGTCACCGAATATCAATTACATGTATATACAGACTGTCCAAGATAAGGTTGCACAGCATGGGGATCTCGGAAACGGAAGCAGATACGAAGCTGGTTAAGTGGTGAAATAGTTGCGAATTCGGAGGCTCATAACAACGGCCTTCCAAAATTTTCAAAAAATTGTTTTTGTTTTTCAGTTATATCAAAAAAAGTGAATTTTTAGAATATCTATTTTATGAATGTGCTTCCGCCTATTTATATCCATCATCAGTGTTTTTTTCGAAATTCTGAAGGAAAAATGTCATCAGTTCCACTTATTTCTGATCATTTAGTGTCAATCAGTTTTAAAATTTTTCGAAAACTGTTGATATGAGCCTCCGAATGCGCAACTTTTTCCCCCATTTAACCGACTTCGTATCTCTTACCGTTTTCGTGATCTTAAGGCTGTGCAACCTTATCTTGGACAGACTGTATATTCAATATTGTATCCCTTTCACATGGGTTAGTGACCTCCTATGTATCACGGAACTCTCTGCGATATCTCTAAGTAGTTATCCTCAGGATCAAAATACGAATTCCTCCTGCGAGGTGCCAAAAATCACTATAGCTGTCACCATGAGAAATACTCTCTGGAGTCGTCTGAAAAAAATCGCGGAGATCTCGCCTCAGATTTGAAATATTCCTCATTATTGCGAATCCTTGAGGTTATCTATAACAGGAATTGAATAGGCATTTCTTTTTGCGAGCACCCAAGGATATCCTGAACGTAACAAGATCGATCATTTCCCATTGCGAGTTCCAAAAGTAATCACAAACATAACGTATATTTCAAATACTGGGTGTCCCAAGTTATCGTATACAGGATATTGCCTATTTGTCAAGATATCAAAAACATTAAAAAACTGTATTGAATGGCATTAAATAACCTTCCTAATGGCTTATGAAGAATGTGATATATTTGGCAGCCCCCTGATGGTAGATACTGATCAGTTTTTATTTCCAAATAGCATATTGTCTCTGAAAATTGCGTGTCAATCTATTTGGAATACAACGATATAGCACATACTTGGTGTTTTGTTCATTGATACCAACAAAAACATGAACATATTGTGACTTTTTTACATTACTTCAATGATAAATTGCTTTCACCCATTTGTCCAAAAAGTTCACAGATATGAAGTATTAATTGAAATTTTGTTTTGAAAAATTAATGACAGATATTCCATTTTGAAGTGCAGAACATCAATCATTGCAGACGGTACCTAGTGTAATAATTAATTTACTTTTATTGTGAGAATTTTTTACAAACATGGCAGGAGGCAATTTTCAATCGATGTAACGTAAATAAGGCCAAAAATTGTATTGTTTTTGTTGTTATTAATAAACAAAATACAAAGTACCGATGTGCTATCGTTCTTTTCCAAAATAGGATGATAGGCAATTTTGAATGACAATATACAGGGAGTCCATTTAATAAAAATTGAGGGGTTGTTACCAGGGGGCTTTTCATTTTAATTTTTTTTTAAGTCATAAAGAAAGTACTTTGATGTCATTCGAAGCATTTTTACTATTTTTTGATCATCTTGTCGAATAAGCGAGTTTTTGCCGGTACCTATACGATAACTTAATGGGACACCCAGTATTAACATGAAATGGGAGTCATTAATCTATGATAATAATATTGTATTGTATTGTATTGCATACTAGATACTCCATTTTCTTACTGTAAGAAAATTAGTTTAACAGGTCATATTATTATCTCCCCGCCATCATGGAAGAATATTTCAAATTTTGCAGAAAATCAATGATAATTACCTGCTCTGACGACATAGTCAAAAATTTTTTAATTCAGGTGGGATCGAGAATCAAATATCTACTTCAAATTCGTGAGTAAATATGGGACGACCTCTTTTTTTGAAGGAGATATACCGCTCTCGGCGAGCTCTCAAAGAAGTTACAAAAGGCATCACAATTTCCTGGAAGGATATCTTCAAGATATCTTCAGGACCTCTTTGTGCTGCCTGGGCTGTGTGTAGAAGAGATGGATTATTCGACCTATAAAATTGTTTTTGCACAATATAAATACTCAAACTTCGAAGTAGCGATATACAAACAAACAAATAAAACAAAACAAAGCGAGCTCCTGAACGATGCGAATGATACGAACGACCTTTTTGTCAGTCACCCTGCATAAGCTCTAATTTCCGCAGGTACCAGGGTGCCGGAGTACACGGAGGCCTTTGTAAAGCTGGTGTTGGGCGAGAGAGAGCACGACTTGCGGGCGAGAACTGCGGACGATAACGACTTTTTGTCGGTCGAAGAGCAAGTCGACTGCCTAATCGATCACGCGACCGATCCCAATTTGCTGGGCCGTATGTACGCCGGGTGGATGCCGTGGATTTGAGAATATGTCATGTGTCATGTGATAAATGGGTTGCGAGCAAGATCTGTTAGATGACCGACCCTGGAGCTAAAACATTGAAATATAACCTCACTTTTCTTATTTGTCTATTAAAGGTTTATGCACTAGCGGGCGGTGAAGTGCACTTTATCGCCCAGATTTGCGAGCGTAAAGTGATGCTTTACCGCCCGCGTGCCCATTATCGCCCACGGGCAATAAAGTGCACTTTACCGCCCGCTGTTGTCATGTCCCCCAAGTATATCCACACATCCATTCGTGGAATACCTATATTTGAACTCTCAGCTGATTCTATCGTTATGATTATGATTATGACATGTTATTGTTCATCTGATTCCGTTTTCTCTATAACTTCCTTCTTTGAATAGTTGCTTTCTGGCTGTCTGACGTTTTTAGCCAGGAGATGACAATTTCAGCTTGTTTTTTGAATGTATTGCTAGACAGCAACCAACAGATTGATTGATAACGTCAAATTCAGGTAGCTATATATTGGGTATACATATTGTTACATCTCAAGGAATTAATTTCTGTTAGTGTACAGGGTGACCAACTAAGACTCAAGAGTTCGATTTCTCTGTTGTCTTGAGAGATACAAAAAAAAGTCATGCATAGAAATTGAAGTAATAACTGAGCTGCAGATTTCACAATTATTTTGGAATATACAGGGTGTTCCATGAGGTAACAGCATATCAAATTTATGTTTGTTTCATATGAACACCTTATATATTATTTCATTCTTGGATTCTTCCTGAAGAGCTGATGTCAACATCTCATCATATACTTGGGGTCTAGTAGTAATATTTACTGAGATAAAGGGTGTGAAAATCAAGATTTTGCAAGTTCAGGATTTTGTTCTGTCGAAATTGTTCATTATTCGTCAAAACGGTGTACATTTCCCTATCTCAACTTTTCACTCACTATCAATTGGTGTTCAATTGAAATTGATACAATGTGGTCAACAAATCTAAATTCATAATTTGTTTTAATTAAATGTCAATTGACCGTTTTGACGAATAATGAACAGTTTCGACAGAAAAAAATCCTGAACATGGAAAATCTCGATTTTGCACACCCTATATGTCAGTAGCTTTCACTGCTAGACCCTAAGTATGATGGGTCGTTGAAATCAGATCTTCAGGGAGAATCTAAAAATGAAATAAAATATAGGGTGTTCCAATAGAAAAAACATAGCTTTGATGTGCTGTGACCTTACGGAACACCCTGTGTCTTTCAAAGAAAATTTGAAATGTGAAGCTTGGTAATCACTTTGATTTGAATGCAAAACTTTTTTTGTATCTCTCAAGACAACAGAGGTATCGAACTCTGGAGTCTTAGTTCGCCACCCTGTACACATTTTCACTCTATTAGCAGTGTTATAGCTTCTTTTGCATTATGAACACTATGTCAGATCACTATACAGGGTGCTGCAAAATTCGACCGATAACGCTTGACAGGTGATAGCCCTCGTGATTTCATAATCACTAAGATAGGGACATATGGTCTTCAAGTGTTCAGTTCTCTAGATACAGGGCGTTGAACTTAAGAAATTGAAATAGTTTTTTCGCAATATCTTGAGAGAAATTGAATGCAACGCATTCAAATTCGTTATACGGTTTCATCTTTCAATGGTTAATTTTTTGACCTGAAAGACATTTCGAGAATTTTATCCAGCGGTGCGTTACAGAGGGTTGTGATAACTTTTCCTCCCATATTTTCTACGCCACTGATGAAATTTCGATTATCTATATTGATTGTTCAATTATGTTGAAAAAATGCATCACCTTCAACTGAGCTAAAATGAACAGTTATCGAGATGTTTGACCCAAAATAGAAGTTTGCATAGTACTTTTTCATCTTCCTCAGTAGTAGAAGATACAAATTTTTGTTTTCTCTTTATGCGTGGAATAACTATTCAGCTACAGAATGAGATCTGAATAGTATCTAATCTACTCAACACCAGAAAAATATTTTTGCAATTTTCTACTACTGAAAATGATGAAATATTACTATGAAATCTTCTATTTTGGGTCGAATATCTCGAAAACTGTTCATTCCAGCTTAGTTGGAGGTGATGCATTTTTTGAACAAAATTGAACAATGAATTCGAGGATTTGGAAATTATCGAAATTTAATCAGTGGCGTGAAAAATATGGGAGGGAAAGTTGCCACAACCCCCTGTAGGGCACCACTGGATAAAATGTCCGAAATGGCTTCCTGGTCAAAAAATGACCCATTCAAAGATGAAACCATATACCGAAGTTGAATGCATTATATTCAATTTTTCTTGAGATATTGCGAAACAACTATTATTATTTCTTAACTTTAACGACCTGTATCTCAAAAACTGAACACTTGAAGACCGTATGTCCCTAACTCAGTGATTACGAAATCACGAGGGCTATCACCTGTCAAGCGTTGTCGGTCGAATTTCGCAACACCCTATATATTTACCTGAAATATCATATTCTTTGTCTCTTGTTACATTTTTTGTGCATTGTACAACAAAACAATGTAATGGTTTGCTTGAATTAGCGCATAGCCTGAAAAACACAATTCGTATCCCAAAATATTGTGAAAAACTATTTCAATCCTTTGATTTCGTTGTGAACATATAAGAAAAGTGAGGTTTTGTTTAAATGTTTTATAGGTCGCGTGCACGAAGACCGACCCTGGAGGCAAAATATTAAAACACAACCTCATTCTTCTGTGAATTATTGAAACACAACCTCACTTTTTTATTTGGTTACAGAGGAATCAAAAGGTTGAAATAGTTTTTCACAATATTTTGGCATACCAATACTGTTTCTTGCGTTATTCATTAATTCAAGAATGCCTTCGCATTGTGCTGTTGTACAATGCACAAAAAATGCAGCAAGAGACTAGGGAATATGATTTTTCAGGTAAATAGTAATCTCACATAGTTAGCATTATGAAATGTTGTCATTCCTTATTAAAATTCCTTCTGCCTTCTGCCACTTCTGCAATACAAGCTAATGCAGCTAATAGATTGAAAATGTCTAAAACAAACACGATCGTCAGCATGTCAGACCAGTCCTCCCGATTGATTGCATGAATCCAATCTTCTTGAATTATTCTAGAAATTTCAGGTATATTTCTATTAGCTGATCCTATTGCAGAAGGAATTCCGATGAGAAATCAGAGAAATAACCAAATTTCAAAAATGAAAACTATGTGAGTGACTATAGTAGGTACTTACTTTTGAATCATAATGTACCATCCGGATTTCTTCATCTTCCACTGCAGTTTTTGTGCATTTTACAACAGCACAATGTGATGGCATTAGCGAATTGATGAATAGCGGAAAAATACGATTCATATGCCAAAATAATTGTGGATGACTATTTGGATCACTTGTAAACAAATATGTTTTGCCTCCAGGGTCGGTCATCTGATAGTTCTTGCACGCGACCTATAGGAAAGTGAGGTTGTGTTTTAATGTTTTGCCTCCAGGATCGGTCATCGTGCACGCGACCTATTGTATTATTTTATTTATATAGTTCGTTGGAAAAAACACTAAATATTTTTCTACCAAAAATTTTGTATGATATTGAATGTATTTTTTAATGGTTACCTAATCTTCTAATTGAGTTGTTGAATAACTTCTGTATGAAGCTGAAAGCTTGTATTTCGAGTAAAAAATCTTTTTCAATCAATGTTTTGAGTCTTCAATATACAATGGAGTACAGAAAAAACGGCCAGTACTGAATCGTTCAAGATCGGATTTTGAAAATTGGATGGGTGGGTAGGAAGTATATCAAATTGCTGTCGCGTTCGACATATCGAAAGCATTTGACCGTGTTTGGCACGAAGGACTCCTCCACAGATTTTCTTCGGAAATCTCTGCTATCATCCCTTCACTAGCAATACCAGTCAGACGAACTAGACAAGCTCAGTCAGCACATCCACTCGTTGTTAACGTCGAAAGATGTCGAACAGCACTGGGATTCATTGCCTGAGGAAGTATTCCCAACAAAACACAATCTCAAGAAGTTCAAAAAAATTCCAATACCTACCTCCTGTCTTTATCCTCCCTAGGAACGCACGATGTTCTTTGAACATTATAGGGATTCCCTTTTGTGCGCTCCAAGCGATAAACAAAAAACAAAAGAATCGACACAACAATTACTCATTCATTGACGTTCCGATCCAGGAAAGTGGAATAATTTTCTTTATTTCTCAAATAGAATCATCTCTCAAATACCTTTCAATGTCATATTTTTTTAGCATTTTTCGGTCGATTTTTAGGTGCTACAATCATCAATGATGCCACGGTAATTTTCAAACGGCTAGAAATTTACCGCAAGTAAGAACTAACGTCACGATGTCGTAATAAGTAGGGGCAGATTTGCCATATTATGTTGAAATACAATTGGTTACTTCAGAAATATTAGTTATTTAATAATCAATAAATTCTCAATTATGTATTGGTAATATTCCTATAATGAGCATTAAGAAATCAATTATCCCAAAATGTTTCCTCATATGTGTTGGGCTTATTGCTTATAATACATTTTGTATAAATAATAATTATATTGATTCACACGAGGCAATTTGAATCGGTAAACGCTCGGGTGAACGTAACACCGCGGCGCACGAATTGTGGGCGTGGTCTTGTCAGTTCTCAGCATTCAGCACAATGTTGCCAAGTCTCCAAAATTTACATGATATTTTGTTATGGAGAATAAGAAATATTTGGACATGCTGGTTGCTGGAAAAAGTCGAGAATTAATAATTATAATATCATAGGTTCCTCCCATGATGTTTTATTCAACGACAGGACCCCATCAGCTTTCACAAAACTTTAATTTTCACAACGTTGGTTACAATCAAACTGTCAAGCAAACGTCAGGAGATTAAGTTGCCTAGGATAATGATAATATAACTATCTGGGATGGGATGACTTGTATATTATGATTTTCGAAGTACAAATCCCTTCGATCTTGAGAGACATATTAAAGCAACATAATGTGTTTCGAAAAAGAGAAGAAATTTTCAATAATCATCAAATAAAACGGGTTGTAGTCAAACTGTTTAGCTCATTATTTCACGAATAAAACAATAATTTCTCTAAGCATTTTTGTTTGCAGATGATACGCTATGCAAATGAAGATACATTATAGGACTTTTTGAATATGTGCGTAAGATGCTACTTTGCTGATCGAGAACTAATTTTTTTAACGTGGCGCACTACAATAAGTTGTGAACAAAATGTTGCTACAAACGTCAATAATAATTTATATTCTCAGCTTGATAAAAAAAGTAATGTTGAACTAGCCCAAGAAGCCTCAAAATCTTGGACGTTTGCTTGATTGAGGATCATATACAGGGTGTACCTAAAAGGTCTTTACAAGAACGTACCGCATATTCCTCAGACAGTTGTCAAAGCTTCATTTATTGAGCAATATAACTCATGTCATGATTATGATGAATACCATAACCAATATAAAATTCGGAAGAAATATTCGAAATGAATTGAACATGATTCGTAAAAAGGAAATTAATTGAACATAATTCGTGAAAAGGAAATGCATTGAACATAATGAAGAAATGAAAAACTTATCACCGATCGCTGGTTTCGGGTCTGGTTTCCTTTTCTGTACAAATTCTCCGTCGATCAATATTATATGTCTTCTTCGATCTGAAACATAGTTGTTATATTATATCAAGAATTTTAAATAATTTAGAATGGATATCATGAAAATTACATGGAATAAGAAACTGAAAAATATATGATAACTTTTTTCAAATTCCGTTGCTGAAACGTGACATATTGTTTTATTTCTCATAAACTGAACGGAACAGATAGTCAACAATTTTCTTCTAAATGTGAAACACTGTATATACCTAACCCATCATTAGGCGCCTACCCCGGTTGCAACGAGGTTTTACCGATGCCAAGGGTTGATACTCTCCCCTCGTAAGAGGGTACCTGTCGTGTCTCCATTGAGACATAAGGGTGACTATCGAAAACTGTTTTATGATATATCGCCTTCCATAACAAATATGAAATTTGGAAAATATATTCGAAATTAATTGAACACTAATCGTAAAAAGGAATAAAAAACTTATCTCCGATCGCTGGTTTCTGGTCTGATTTCCTCTTCTGTACACATTT